ACTACGACTACTACGACTACTACGACTACTACGACTACTACGACTACTACGACTACTACGACTACTACGACTACTACGACTACTACGACTACTACGACTACTACGACTACTACGACTACTACGACTACTACGACTACTACGACTACTACGACTACTACGACTACTACGACTACTACGACTACTACGACTACTACGACTACTACTACTACGACTACTACGACTACTACGACTACTACGACTACTACGACTACTACGACTACTACTACTACGACTACTACGACTACTACGACTACTACGACTACTACGACTACTACGACTACTACGACTACTACGACTACTACGACTACTACGACTACTACGACTACTACGACTACGACTACTACGACTACTACGACTACTACGACTACTACGACTACTACGACTACTACGACTACTACGACTACTACGACTACTACGACTACTACGACAACTACGACTACTACGACTACTACGACTACTACGACTACTACGACTACTACGACTACTACGACTACTACGACTACTACGACTACTACGACTACTACGACTACTACGACTACTACGACTACTACTACTACTACGACTACTACTACTACTACGACTACTACGACTACTACTACTACGACTACTACGACTACTACGACTACTACGACTACTACGACTACTACGACTACTACGACTACTACGACTACTACGACTACTACGACTACTACGACTACTACGACTACAACGACTACTACGACTACTACGACTACTACGACTACTACGACTACTACGACTACTACGACTACTACGACTACTACGACTACTACGACTACTACGACTACTACGACTACTACGACTACTACGACTACTACGACTACTACGACTACTACGACTACTACGACTACTACGACTACTACGACTACTACGACTACTACGACTACTACGACTACTACGACTACTACGACTACTACGACTACTACGACTACTACGACTACTACGACTACTACGACTACTACGACTACTACGACTACTACGACTACTACGACTACTACGACTACTACGACTACTACGACTACTACGACTACTACGACTACTACGACTACTACGACTACTACGACTACTACGACTACTACGACTACTACGACTACTACGACTACTACGACTACTACGACTACTACGACTACTACGACTACTACGACTACTACGACTACTACGACTACTACGACTACTACGACTACTACGACTACTACGACTACTACGACTACTACGACTACTACGACTACTACGACTACTACGACTACTACGACTACTACGACTACTACGACTACTACGACTACTACGACTACTACGACTACTACGACTACTACGACTACTACGACTACTACGACTACTACGACTACTACGACTACTACGACTACTACGACTACTACGACTACTACGACTACTACGACTACTACGACTACTACGACTACTACGACTACTACGACTACTACGACTACTACGACTACTACGACTACTACGACTACTACGACTACTACGACTACTACGACTACTACGACTACTACGACTACTACGACTACTACGACTACTACGACTACTACGACTACTACGACTACTACGACTACTACGACTACTACGACTACTACGACTACTACGACTACTACGACTACTACGACTACTACGACTACTACGACTACTACGACTACTACGACTACTACGACTACTACGACTACTACGACTACTACGACTACTACGACTACTACGACTACTACGACTACTACGACTACTACGACTACTACGACTACTACGACTACTACGACTACTACGACTACTACGACTACTACGACTACTACGACTACTACGACTACTACGACTACTACGACTACTACGACTACTACGACTACTACGACTACTACGACTACTACGACTACTACGACTACTACGACTACTACGACTACTACGACTACTACGACTACTACGACTACTACGACTACTACGACTACTACGACTACTACGACTACTACGACTACTACGACTACTACGACTACTACGACTACTACGACTACTACGACTACTACGACTACTACGACTACTACGACTACTACGACTACTACGACTACTACGACTACTACGACTACTACGACTACTACGACTACTACGACTACTACGACTACTACGACTACTACGACTACTACGACTACTACGACTACTACGACTACTACGACTACTACGACTACTACGACTACTACGACTACTACGACTACTACGACTACTACGACTACTACGACTACTACGACTACTACGACTACTACGACTACTACGACTACTACGACTACTACGACTACTACGACTACTACGACTACTACGACTACTACGACTACTACGACTACTACGACTACTACGACTACGACTACTACTACTACTACATCGCTGACGTGCTTTTAGAGATAACACTTTCCTCATTTAAATTTCCAGAGGTTGAACTTTTACCGGGAGATTCACTTGTTGACTTAGAGTATGCCGATGACATAGTTCTATTTAGTGAAGACGCTGACAAAATGCAGAGTCTTCTGACCACTCTAAGCAACAATGCATGCATGGTTGGGACGCGATTATCTCCCTCGAAATGCAAAGTGTTGCTTCAGTATTGGGTTACATCGACACCCGAACTAGTGATAGGGAGTGAAGTAGTTGAGTGTGTCGACCGCTTCACTTATCTTGGGAGTCTCATCAGCCATTGTGGTCTGGTGTGTGACGAAATCTCAGCACGGATACAGAAGGCTCGACTAGGTTTTGCCAACTTGCATCATTTATGGCGTAGGCGAGATATCCGTCTATCAACCAAAGGACGTGTTTACTGCGCAGCAGTTCGTTCCGTCCTACTTTATGGCAGTGAAACATGGCCGGTTAGTGTAGAGGATATCCGTAGGTTACTAGTATTTGATCATAGGTGTCTTCGAAACATTGCTCGTATGTCATGGGACCATCGAGTAAGTAACACAGTTGTTAGGAAACGGGTACTAAGTAAGGATGACGAATCAATTGATGAACTAGTGAAACTTCATCAGTTGAGATGGCTGGGATACGTGTTACGTATGCCCGACCACCGACTGCCCCGACGTGCGATGTTTTATGGTGTAGGAGTAGGTTGGAAGAAAGCTAACGGCGGCCAGACCAAAACATGGCACAAATCCGTAAAGACACTGACAAGTGGGCTGAGCCATGTTCATAGGTGTAGACTACCTGATTGGGGTCCGCGAGATGATAGCAACCAATGGTTAGAGACCCAGAGTGACATGGCTCAAGATCGTTCTCAATGGCGCAGGCGCACCCACTCTTTTTGTTCGCCCTAATTCTAATCTTTTGAATTCTTGATGTCCCTTTCTTTTTTCTCTTCCCAAATTTATTTCACTGGATTGTACTACTTAGATGACATCTTCAAATCCTAATGTTTCCGATTACTGCTTATACTTTTACTACCTCCACCACTTAAGGACTTGAATCGACAATTGTGTCTGTGTGCTAATGTGGTATTGCGACTTGAACTGATGTACTTACGTAAGAAGTTCTACGTTGTTACTTGCTGACTGAGTAGACATGTTAAGGTATGCAGTGAGTGATCGTGAATGCGTAATGCATGTCTCAACCGCTTCGGATGGTACAGATTCACTACCTTATCAACCAATTTGTTATTTCTACCTGGTACTCTGCGTTTAACCTCAGCGTTGCTTACTCAATGGTCCCAAAGTGCTCAGATAATGCTTCAGAAATACCTATGATCAGATGCTAGTACCCTATTATTATTATTATTATTATTACTATTACTATTATTATTATTATTATTATTATCAGCAGCAGCTTTATTCAATATTATATTTTTGGTACAATATAGAATTCTCAGCGTAAAGTATTTCAACAAGTTTCCGTTTCTTCTTGGTCGGTCCTGGCGATAAATATCGAGTGATCGCCCGCTAGATGTTAGTAGTTCAGTAAATGAACATCTGAATAATGTGCATTCTTTTCGTTGTATATTGTCAGCAACCACATTGTCTCTTATTGAGTTTTTTGTAACTTTGACAACGAAAGGTTGTACACTTTTCAGAAACGCAGCAGAATAGGTTATGCGATTAATAAACATAATGATATATTAAAACAAACAAAAACAGATAACTTGTTGAAATATCTAGATGGCACGAACAGGTAGCCCAGATGCTCAAGCAGGCCGCCCTACGAATATCCATTGTTCTTAATAGCTCCTCATCGTGTTTGAAACCTATTGTGATATGTTTTCCAGCATCTATCAATTAAGTAGATGCCATCAGTATCCAGTGGTTTTTCAACCCATTGGTTTAAGTCACTGGTAGATATCACAGCTGTTTGTATATCGTGCTAAGCCACATCTGGATGATCATTACTCTCATGATTCACTAGTTGCTTTTCTAATTGTCTCTGAAATATACTTTGAGGGTACCGTCGTTAAACTGAATTGTGATCAGTCTTTCTTTTGAGACTACTGCGTCCCGTAAAATGCACTAGAGTATGATTAAAGTCCAAATATATGCTTCAGAATGAGTCGGTCTTCTATTGAGCTTCTCTAACAGAGGCTGATTACAATGTATTCTATTTGGGTCTACCGTTGAGTCGGTTGCCGTATCAGACGAATGCGTATATCGTGCTCATAGTTGGTGCTTGCTAGAAATAAACAATTGTCCGAGGATAGCTGCAGCAACCAGTCACCATTATATGCTTGGTTTACTCACTCAATCTTTCCTATTTTTTTCACAGAATTTCCTCCGATTAGCCTTTTTATTTGACTACTTAGTTATCAATGTGCTTATACAGTTTCTAATTCTTGTTTTAGTGTTGATGACACTGGGGCTTATAGAAAAGGGGAACAACAAATATGTTTTACATAGTATTAAAGTTTACTCGTATACAGACATGTATACGCTATGATTTCTCTCCACCTATCTAACAGCTTTACGCTATTTTCATAGCCCAAATCACCTTGCAATACTGATCTATCAAAGTGCTCTCAGTTGGATCCTAAACAAGATGTAACGAGTTTGAACCGTCTAAGACAACGAGATGCCTGGTTGCCTTCTGAATCTACTCAAAAAGCATTATTGAGTCCAAGTCCCGAAAACAAGTTAGTTGAGGTAAAACCTATTCTCATGGGCAAAGATTATGAGATTGGCGGTAGTGGTAGCACTTCTGCTTTTGATCCATTCCATTATTTGTTGGCTCAGTATACGGGCGATGAACCAAACGTTAATGCAATCCAACGGGTTCCGTCTATTGAACTGAGGAGTCAAAGTGGTGATGATCTCAAAAAATTAATTGTAAGTTGTTAATTCTTCAATGGGGTGCATATCACAATTCAGTTATTAAAGATTCCCATTGTGAAAATCAGAACAACACATATAAGCGAACAGTTGTTTTCAATTAGATTGTCATCAGGCTTTACTCTAATATACATGAATATTTATACGAAAATGTTAAATCAATCAAGGCAATATGGGTCAATAATCACAATGAAATATAATAGGTCACCACACATAAGAAGTAAAAATACAAGTTGATAGTAGGAAGACAGGTGTACTGATAGTAGTAAGAATAATAAAATACGATAACAAAAGTCATATCAATAGTTAAAAGTTGGAAATAGAAGGTCAAACGTGGGTAAATAGACTTGGAATAGTCATCACAAAACATTAACATTATTACGTAATAAGAAGTGTGTAAATAAATAGGTAGTGAAGAATACAAACAGAAAGAGGCGGAAAATTACAAACAAATACTAGATGTGAAAACAAGGCTAATGATAAAAAAGATAGAATAAAATAAATAAATAATAGCAATAATAAAAAAAACCATTTCGAGTGATCTATCGTATACCTCCATCATTTCCCAACGGAGTTCGTTCCCGCCTCCTACATATAGCTGAAGCCATAGGATTTCGTACATATAACCTCAATTTATGTGTACAGAAGAAATTCGTAACCCCCCTACCCCTTCCATGACCAGTTCTAACTTAACTAACGATTTTTTCTAATTATTATTGTTATTATTTATTTATTTATTTTATTCTATCTTTTTTATCATTAGCCTTGTTTTCACATCTAGTATTTGTTTGTAATTTTCCGCCTCTTTCTGTTTGTATTCTTCACTACCTAATTATTTACACACTTCTTATTACGTAATAATGTTAATGTTTTGTGATGACTATTCCAAGTCTATTTACCCACGTTTGACCTTCTATTTCCAACTTTTAACTATTGATATGACTTTTGTTATCGTATTTTATTATTCTTACTACTATCAGTACACCTGTCTTCCTACTATCAACTTGTATTTTTACTTCTTATGTGTGGTGACCTATTATATTTCATTGTGATTATTGACCCATATTGCCTTGATTGATTTAACATTTTCGTATGAACAATTCAGTTAGCAATTGCATTATCTTAAGGATAGCCTATTTGCACATTTTGATCTTTCTATGACGCTAGTCTACCTCTAATAAGTTTGATAACTATGGTTGCCTGATTCCTACATCTATTATATCAAGAGTGGATCTGATATTTGATAATTAAGATTTATTAACAACTTGATGTCTACTACTTTTAATGTGTCACCTGTCAAAAGCGAACTATACTATATCATTGAGTTATCATTCATCTTTATTGACAGTAGTTACCCTGGCTTGTAGATATTCTTTACAAAGGGCTACGTGTTCCAGAACCTCTGTGAATGCGTTTCCTTGTAAGGCATACTTAGTGTTTAGTGGCTAAATAAACTGCTAATAATTCTTTGCTAGTTCTGTTGTAGGACTTCTCGGTGGAAACAGGTTATCGTTATTTATCATGCAACTCTTGTCGTAGTATTTATCCGACAACAATATTTCATGCGTCTCAACAAAAATAAGAATACTTTGACGTCGCTACAAACAAAAACGAATTTTTCGTCCACAAACTGTTTGGTTTCACATGACTTAATGTATGTATATATGCTCATATATAATATTATATGTATTTGGGTGAGGTTTTAATTTGAACGAAATTCCTCTCCAGCTAATTGCTATGTTTCAGCTTTCTGTTTATGGAACAGTTGGTTGACTTCTAGGCCTAAACTTCATCCCACATATTTATGTTTGGGTAACCTCATAGTATTATTAGCCCTGGCTTACAGTAGATAACTCAAAACTGCATACACGTACTTCTGTCTCATTACTGAATTAAATCGAAGTTCTTTATTGGCTTAAGGTATAATGCACTAGGTCTTTATAACATTGAAAATTCAAGAATCCACCATCTCCATCTGTTTCTTTCCTCTCTTAGAACAATGGATGGTATACTTGTGCACTGAATCTTACTTATCGTATTCTTTCAGCTGCTGGTTTTAAAAATGACGAAAGTGAGGCCGTTTTATCTCCATTTACTGCTCAGGTAAACATTGTGCTATTGTTGTACCATAGATTACTTTAACGTGTATACTTCTTTATCTCTCATAAATTTACATGCATTCTTAGCTAGCATATGCTTAGTTTAATCTTCCTTGTATCTTTTCACTCTTTGGGGCCGTATTTTTTGCTTGTTTGTTTTTTCATGCTTTTCCATCTTATGGTTAGATAATGGGGTGGTAGTTTTGTGGATAAAAGACAGGATTATCAGGCACTGGACTTCAGATTTGAGCCTATCAAACATTTGATTTCGGCTGTCTAGTATCTTTGGTTTTCGGAAAATTATTTGATTTTTTATGTGCCATATGCCTTTGTTAATAAGAGTGGATTCTAAGTTTATGTTACAGAAAACCTTCATTACACAACATTAATCTAGTATCGAAGTAAATAATTTCAACTCAAAACCCTTGACTAAATAGACATATTTATAGTCTTGAGTTGATAGATAATATCGCTTTATTGTTCTTTGGCATACAAGTCACCCAAACTCCACGTCATCAGCTGATAATCGCCGCCCGCAAAAATTGCATTTGCACCATCGAAATATATTTTTGGTCAGCCATAGGCAATGTGGGACGTGATACAATTATGTATCGGTGCAAGTTATCAGATATGGCTCAGAATAGAAGCCATTGGCGATCCTGCTGTAACCTTTTACTTTCTTCATAAAAAGTGGTTATGTCTCCCTTACCTGAAAGATTTCTTCTGATTGTACCTTTCCGTTCCTTCATTACTACCACACTACCTTACACCAATCTCTTCGTTATTATCCTCTTTTTTTTACGCTCCTTACCTTTTTTCTCTTCTCTTCGAATTCCGATTGTTTTGTGTGGCGCATATATATTGGCGCTCTCTTCTACCAATATTTATGTGTTCAAATAAATAAATAAATAAGTTACCATATCTCAAGTGAACATATTCAAATGAAATTAACAAAATTTATGGTATAAAAGTTGAGATAATATCATTGCTAGTGAATACTAAGTGTATGAAGTATAGTTAACAAGAAACTACTTGATTTGAAGACTCAATGAAATGAAATAATATTAAAACACAAGTTCCTTCTGAACCAACATTTTAGATTTACAGTATGGGGTTGAGGTCGTTGACACAGCCGTCGAGTGCTTTCAGGTTTTCGATGAGTGATCTAACATTTATCGGTTCATAGTTTCAATGAAGTTTTAGATTTAATGAGTCTTCTTCAATAGTTTCTGACAGTTAGGTTAAAATAGATAAGTTGGACAGCCATGACAAATAACATTTGATGCAAGCAATTCCACTGGTACGATTTATATCATTTTCATAAAGAATCTTTAATAAATTGACTCACTTTATTGACATTTCTTTCGATGAAACACTGTCGAAAGCTGTTATTTCCACGAAACTGGCGAGAACATTTGCCTTCAATCATCTTCGATAGTGGGGCTATGAAAATAATGTAAAGGTTCATATATCTGGATAGTCGTTTGACTGTCAATACTAGTAAGGAGAACAAATTCAATCCTTCTAAAACATTTTAAGACTTCTTTTTGCAATCTGAGCCATATATTGCATCATCATAATTGTTGTATGGTCTTAAAAAATTTGGTGTGTATTACTACGGAATGTTCAGTTATATTTCATACTTGCAAATATGGTCTCTTTTAGCTCAAAACCTTTGATAGCGGTGTGTGTGATTACTATTTCCGAAGATAATAATGTATAGAGAATCATGAGGTATGACATGTGTTTGGACTCAATTTAGTCCATCATTCATCTGATTAATTCATTTTTATATGTTTACGGTGATGACCTGAGCGCGTGGCACTCATTTTGTTCCAATTACTGCCATACTATGCGTTGTCTACTGACTGAGGCTAGTGACTTGGTTCAGCTAAACGACTGATAGTTGTGTAACAAGCCAATGTGTTGTAAATAAATAACGACATATGACTTGGGAATTTTTGAATTACAAGATAGATTGCATATTTTCCTCCATGTATTAATGTTATGGAAATAATAATTAACCACTACTGTTCTTGTTGATTGCTTGTTTTAGATTTGGTTGTGTCGATTGGCCTTATTAGTTCGTACGCAAAATTATAAATTGGCTGAACATGAATTTGCTACTTTTCATAACATGGAAGCACCGAATTTCTATTTTGAATATTCTCCCCAAAGATATCCTGGACGGACAGGTACTGAAGTATATATATATATTTATTTATTTATAGGGGTGTTGTGTTCATTGAGCTAAATGATTTAGTCGCAGAGCTTTCAATTCCATTCTTGACATCTTAAGCGCCTATTTCATGTAGAAGTTACTTCACAGGTGCTATGTCAGCTCGTCCTGATGGTTTTGCTTGTGATTGGCTGTCTTGGTTGATTTTTCTGTTTTCACTTGCTCCCGGTTTTCTGTTTGACTATCTTTGCCGTTGATCTCTGGCCTTGTGATTGATTTCGTCGTTTCTCTAATAGTCTCTATATACATAATCATTTGCATGCACTGATATCATCAATAATATATCGTATCACCTTACTGTTTATTTATGGGTAGGTGAAGGAGACGTCCACTTTTTTAAATATATTCTTCACAGGTATTGAGTTTTCCTTCTTTTACTGTTGTGTCTTTTGGCGTCCATAGTGTGGTTGTGTTAGTTTCTGAAGGCCGTCGATCTCAAGACTCCAAAATCCCTATGACAGTTTCAGAGATATTTTTCACATACGGTAGCACAACTTGTTTCTCGGCTTCCGGGATTGGTTACTTAACGATATATCTATTGATTAGGCACTTTTTAATGAATTTTTCGGGAATGCCATTCTTATGGAAGACTAACAGATGCTTTTCCTAAATTTTTTATGTGGTGGGAGTGCTGCAGTTGGCTTAGACTCTTTTGGTCAGTGTCTGGACACAACTGTTGGCATGCTGCCAGATTGTTACTGTATGACTTGGTTCCCTGCATACTTGTTTTTCTCTGTTGATTAGAACGTCCAGGAATAATATTTTGTTTCCCATATCCTTTGTTATTGTAACATTATCGAATATGTTGTCGGTTAACTTATGAGTATTCTTAGGTTTGTTACTTTTGAAGATAACAAATTTATTATCTACATAACGTATTCAAATCTTTGGCTTGATCATTGACAAAGTTTTAGCTTCAAATCTTTACATTACAGCTTCTGTGATTGGTGAAGCGAATGTCCGGCGCTTTAATCGGATTCCAAACCAATGGTGCACACGGGTTCCAGTATCCTGCGGGAACAAATGGCGTATGAACCAATTGTTGGTCACCGGCTTCCATGGGACTGCATCTCCTTACGATGCTCCACTGCCTTGTGGATCAGACTTTCAGGTCGAAGGCTCGAGGAGTGACCCCCTAAGAAAACCACCTACTTCGGTTTGGGCACCCGGGCAGTATCACAGTCCTCACACATATCGAGTGGGATTTGTGTGGCGCATATGTATTTGGTGCTTCCTTGTAGCAGTATCTATGTGTTAAAATAATAATAATAATAATCTGTGATTGGTCGTGATATAGGGTACCTCATTGTTGTCTTTTTTATTTGTCAGTAAATCTGACTACTGGATTGGAAGTACGTTCAAGAAAAAGATCTGTGAATTCTGTCAATTTCGAGTACTATATTTTCGTGTTCTATGAGTTGTTCGTCGTTGCTGAGATGTCCTGATATTATATTTGTAATGAGCTTCGCTTTTACTAAAGTGAAATGAACCGCAAAATCCAAGGTCATTGTTACTTCGTCGTTGGTCAGTTGTAAATTTTTGATCTTTTTTCAGAACTGTGTTGAGGAGTTGACCGAATGATTGTACAATCCAGTCAGATGTTCTACTATCGTGTAGAGTTTTTTTAGCATATGGTAGGTTGGTATTTCTGGTGTTGACATGGATGGTTAATATGGTACATTGGGTTCGTGCAACTTCGGTCTTCTGTAAAATCAAGGAAAATAAGTCCATCATATCTTCTTCGTCACTGGTGTTGGTTTGTAGTTCTCTTAGAGTTTTATTCATTAGACTGTCTATTCTTTAATAGAATTTTTCACTAGTGTTTCGTATGCATTGTTATCTTTGATTAGGTCCTCAGCTTTCTGAATGTAATTTTCTTCATTCATAAATACTGTTGTCCATCGTTTGTCTCCTGGTACGATGAAGGTGTTCTTCTTTTCAGTCTTTTTTTAAACTGTTTACTTCTCTGTAATATATGTGGCGTTAAGCTGATATGAAATTCTCGGACTAGCTCACCTCTACATGAAGTGGACACTGAAGATCTTGTTAACAATAAGCTCAGAGAACACAACTCCACCAAAACCACTGACCTGAGCTGCGAATCTCCGTCATGCCAATATATATGTGTATGCTACATTCGCGTTGTTTTTCGTTTTATATTATTTTACCGTTTAAATTCGATAGGAATGAATTTCTTATCGGTTTCAAATCTGCACAATGGCAATTAATGTAGCTCATTAACGAGGCACATTCACGTAGAGTTTTTCTGTCACAGTTTCTATATAACGTTATCCAACTGTCCAGTGGGGTAGCTGGGGTGAAGTTCGAACCTTTAGTTTGTTAACTGAAATCTAAGTGCTTTAACAAATAGGTTACCACTTCCTATTCAATTCATAACAGGTAAGTAACTGGCATGATTTCTCAACTCATCTGCAGGTTAAAATTGTTGTCATGTGGTGCTTATCTAAAATAATTGTATTCCAGCATACTGTACCACATTATGAGATAATCTCAGTCTTTTTAGCTCGTTGATGTATCAACAGACTATATCCGCTATCCATGGTGTTAAAGTAGTATTTATGAATTGTACTCACTCTTTCGGAACTATTGTTTTATTTGGACCCTGTACGTTCTATAATGTCTTTGGTTCTTGTTTTAACGGGTGACTGCAGATTAGATGAGCAGCGTTTTATTGATCGATTCAGTGACACGTAAAACACGCACGGGCGACCTAGAGTCCCGATTGGCCCTGTTTCGCTGTCTAACCCAGCCAGTTGAGTCCAGAACACAAGTAACAGCCTCTGAGATAGGAATCATTGTATTTCAGACATACTCTATTTATATACCAATCAAACAGACCACATCGTACCATAAAAATAGAAAACATCTGTACAGTATTTAACGAGTGAAATAAATAATGGCCAATAGGAAATGTACATTTAAAGTCTAAGGACATCATTGGACTTAACATGATAATGATTGGTACATTATTCTGCATCCATAACAGTTCTAGTCAAAAACACCTTACTCAACCTTAGTGTTACTATCATGAAATTGCTGTTGAGCATGAGCGTTACTACGTTTGGTACTTGAATAATTTGGGTTGATTTTAATAGTCTGGTTGATGAATCATATCAGTTGTAATCCTAATAATTCCAATCATCTTCATGTTTTACCATATGAGTCTGAATTATTCTCGTGGTACGTTCTTGATTGTTTGCTCAGTCATGAGTGAATTGTAATCACCTAATTAACTCTAATTCTAACTCACACAATATTAATCAAATATTACTAAATGTCAATTTGCGGAAATGTTTCGAAAATATTGTACTACTCACGTTCTAGATGAGATTGTGAACAGAGTTCATAGATCGTTATCATTCGCTTAAACTCAAAGACTAGTGCTGTTGAAGTGAATCTATATCACTTGTGCTCTTGTACTTTTTATTACTTTAAAACTGCACTTTTGATCATTTTTGTTTTTCTCTCCTCTTAGGTTCTATCATTCCATTTTCTTTAAGACTACTTCATGCTGAATTACCTTTTAATTTAAATCGTACAAATGAAGCATTAGATCGTCTATATTACTTATTAGCTATTATTGGTCGAGTACGTTTATTTGCTATTGGTTGAAATTGTTTGATGAAGTGCTACTTATTTTAGTCTTTATTGTTGACCCCTTAACTATGCTTCTACTTAAAGTCTAGTAATAACAACTGTATTTACTTTTAATTCACCATGCAGTATCTCTACATTCCTCATACATGAAATGGATAAGTACACATACGTGTGTATATACTTACTGTGTCAGAAATACACCACGTCAAAGGAACTTACAATATCATGACGAATTAGAGAGATACAATTCAAAAATGTAAATAAGATATACCGAATAATCGAGTTCGATAAAGAACAAAACCAAGGTAGATTTCATTTATTTACAAGTCTTACTGTTTGTAATAAAACTAGCAGAAACCTTCAGGAAACTCGTCAGGTTCATTTTGAGTCATACCTGATGACACCTCAAGTCACTGAGTTGCACGGTATGTAAGACCTTGCCTATGTATTCACGATAAATCTATAAGTATCGACCCAGTACATCAACCTTTCTTCCTGCGGTTCTCTATCGTAAACTGATTGTCTCAGCTTTTTAGTATCAGGAAAACAATGTGTGGTTTGAATAACATTTGGAGGGGGCAGCATGCATGAAACGTATCTAGGCGACCAAATAGGGTATTTCAAGATTATAATTATTTGAGAAATTATATATGGTATACTATAAGTGTTACTGGTTCTCGGCATTACTTACACAGTAGTGAAATCGTATATATGTAGTCCTTCGAAGATAACGATGACTGATTACAGAATACTCGCCGGAAATCATCTCAAAGAGTCTAGTTGTCCGAATCATAATCCAAAATTCCTCTCATTGGCTAGACTATCGAAATTTTTGATATAGATCTTGCAACCCTGTTTACTACATGATTTGTTGATTATTTCCGAGGATGTGACCACTAAATTTGTCCACAAACAGTCAAAATACCCACCCATTGTTAAAAGTCATTTGTGATCTAACTGGAGCAATGTCCAAATCATAAAAAGGTTTATACTGTTTAAATGTATGCGTGTAAACTTATTGGTATTAATCACTTAAGTAATTCATTTTCTCAAACCGTCAAATATGTATTCGAATCACTACCAGTTTAGTTTGAATAACTAAGTCTTTTTACTAAAAAGTTGTACACTTGGTCGGCATTTAGTCTTTGACACGGTTTAGAATTTTGGTTAGTGAGAAATGATTTTACTGAAGAAAGAGTATAAGTTCATCAAAAATTCACTCTGTTGAACCTTGCTGGCTAAATATATTACAACCACATCTTCAAATTGAGTCTTCCCATTAATGTTTAAGAGTGCAATTGACCAGTCTCTTATTGGCATCTATGCATACTGTGTGTATTGCCTTAACTCACAAATATTCTAAGCAAAGATGGATAGTGGCTAGTAGTGGAATGCATGACTCGCGTTTCGTCCGATTTGGGACTCGTCAGCTGGGTATACCTGCATTTCAGAGTTGATGTCCACTCTGGGACTCGAACCTAGTACCGTTCGTTTCAAACACCATCGCGTTACCCACTTAGCTACTGATCAGTTGCAGTTCTAAACATCAATGGTAAGATTCAAGTAAAACAATATCAAGTGAATTAAACTTCAACCGATTGCACAAGCAAGTGACTATCTGGACTCAGTAGCTAAGTGGATAACGCGATGACGTTTGAAGCGAACGATACTGGGTTCGAGTCCCAGAGTGAACATTAACTCTGGAATGCAGGTACGTTCAGCTACCAGGTCCCAAATAGGAAGAAACTCGAGTCCCGGATTCCACTGCTAGCCACTATCAATCTTAACCATATCTTCTTATGGATAACCCACGTTCACTTGACTGAAAATTCCTATAGTGTTGTTCATTACGTTACCCTTCTGAAAATTTCTATAATGGTATTCTGTCCTCATCCAACTTGTGTTTATATGCTCACTTTAGAATCATGCATGTGTGACGTTTGAGAATACAACCTTTCTGTTAAAACTAAATTAAGTGTGTAACAGGATTCTTTAAAGTTGAATACTTATAGTATGATCAGCTTATGATCTTGGGATCCCCTATCTAAGATCGCTACTATTAGAAACTTTGTTTCGTCTCTTCTTCTTTCACGAACAGTAATCAAAGCAGTTTTTATTATCCATTAACTTAAAATATGTGGGGTTTAATCAGTCTAGACACTTTCAAGCATTAGGATCGTGAATAGTTAGGAGAAAAGCTAGACCCAGTTGTGACGTTAAAACCTGTTAAGTTGTTGAGTTATTGGTGCGACGTATTAGGAATTATTTACTTCCTGAGTGAGGTGGTGTAAATGATAGAGATTATGCAGTCTAACTAGTGTAGTTTTGTTCGATTTATCCCATTATTTGTCATATTTTTTTAGAAATTAATTTTCAGTTTAGTTTCTTTTTTCTAACTCTAGATGCAAAGTAATTTAGAGAAAGGCTTTAGAGAGGATGGTTCGATAAGCGAACCAGATCTTGTTTACCGACAAGGTATGAATATTTTAATACTACAATGAACTATATATATATATATATTTATATACTCAGCTATGATACTATATATTGATTGTGATTTATAGTCACCTGTCACATTATTCTAAAACAGTTCCTAATGGATCCAAAATATTCAAGAGTGTGGTAATTATCCTATTGATTTATGTGCAATCTTGAAGCCAGTTTTCGTAACAGACTGACACATTACACCGGAAAATCAGCGAGAAACAATGGGAGAGATAAAAAAACTTTCATCCGAGCTTCAAACTCCTCAATGGTGAGCACTAACGAGTGCACATGGTCTTGAACTCAGGAACTCCAAGTTTTGCAGCGAACACTACCTTATTCACTGAATGAGTTAGATTTCAGTAGTCCATATTTTCAAACATTATTCTTATTTTTCGTTGTTTAATTGTTACTGTTATTATGAATGACCTTACCATTCGAATTCATAGAGAGATTAAATTAAAGAACAAATGTAAGTTATATCATAAATGGGCTATAGTTATACAGTGAGGATGATTTTTAACTTTGGCCTAACTACTCAACGATATTGTACTTCGAAATACAGCCTGGATCAGACTACGTGACAGAATAATCTGAGTTAGGTAAACTTCTACCTCATTGATCAGGTGTTTAACTTGTAAATTTCTAATTAGGGCTCATGTTGTCACTTGTGTACCATTAAAGAGTAATTGTCGAACCTTATCTCAGAATATGATTGTTTCCTTTTGTATCTAGCCTCATTAAATCTATGGACTGCTCGTAAAATTCGGGTACTTTCCAGCTGTTTATCAATATTTCTACATAAGTTAGATTATCAATCAGCACTAAATATAGTACGTCAATTAACACATCTATGCAGTGATAATCAGGTTGTGCTTAGAGGATTCTGTAGTTTACTTGGTCGTGTCCATTTGCAGGTAGGTGTTTTTTTAATAAGGAGAGGATTTGCAGTATCGACTCGGCCTACCATTAGGACTGTTGTACTGAGGGTTAAGCAGCTTTAGCTATAATCTCATTCAAAAATGGTCGAATAGAGTAGTTTCTTTTGAAATTAATTGGAATGTTCCGAAAGCCCACTATATTCTCGAATAAAAGACAGGAAAGATTGAGTAACCTAATTTATTACTGACTTATTTTGATTAAGGCATACTACAACCTTTTGACATTCTTATCACAAAAAGCTCGTTGTTACATTGTCTCCACCTTTCAGATTCTCATAACCCTTGGAATGTCCCGCCAACATGACATGCTAAATGAAGATTGGTGATAAATACATTAGTAGAAAATAAAAGGGCTATTAGCTCTATGAGGAGATCTGCAACCTTAAAATGATAAGCGCCATGAATTAACCCAGCTGTCGAAAAACCCCTATTTATTCTAGTTAAGTAAAACGTTTTTATTAAATCGTTTCTTCTATATCTGGGTTGACGGAAGTGGGACCCAGATACTCAGAACAAAGGTACATTTAACTTATTTATTTTAACACATAGACATTGGTACAAGGGGGCACCAAATACATATGCGCCACACAAATCCCACTCGATATGTGTGAGGGCTGTGATACTGCCCGGGTGCCCAAACCGAAGCAGGTGGTTTTCTTAGGGGGCCACTCCTCGAGCCTTTGACCTGAAAGTCTGATCCACAAGGCAGTAGAGCATCGTAAGGAGATGCAGTCCCATGGAAGCCGGTGACCAACAATTGGTTCATACGCCATTTGTTCCCGCAGGATACTGGAACCCGTGTGCACCATTGGTTTGGAATCCGGTTAAAGCGCCGGACATTCGCTTTTCGTCCTCTCATTTTCGTAAACAACACCCCCGCCACGAGAAGGCAATGAGTAGGACTTCCCTGGCAGAGGCTTTGTACGCGTGGCCATGTGAGAGCATTTCGAGAAGGAGAGCGGACTCTCCCCACCCTCGGCCGTACCAGGGCATTTAGGAGCATTTGTTCAAAACGAAGAACAGATGTTTCAACTATCATAAATACGTTCCAAGCATTACAAAATCCAGTACTATGTGGTGTCTGTCATATGATACGTTTAAACTTACTATTTGAAGATCAGCCATTGAATAGATACAGTATTAGCGATTTCTTCTAAGATATGTTGGTTAAATTGTTCACTTATGCCCTTGTGTTATTATACTAGTTTGTGAAATAATTTACCTTCTATACTGAGCGATCCAGCTATGGTAACTTGCTAAGGTGAATCACACTTTTTATCAGCATCTTCCATTACCCATAAGTATGATAAAGAATTCTCTTTATATTTACTAGTGTTGTATATATTATGTTGTCACTAATCGGTTACTCTTCTATTGTGATTAGCATGACATTTTCAGTTGTCTGAATGTTTCTCATATTCCACTTGTGTAACATACATCACTATCCCATGTTCTTGAGCTAAAGCAAGTAAACAAAAACCACATCTTTTCTCAATTACTAATTCACGTCTTAAAAACATTAATCCATAATGATGTAAACTTGTCTCATTTAGGCGATAATAGGTCCAGTCTTCGCTGATGTAAATTACTTTAAAGATTAACTAAACGAATTCGTATCTAGTTACACAAAGAAATGGTTTTTGTTCAGAAAATGCTCATCGTTATTTACAAATAATCACACATATAAGTCATTAATCGGTTCTCATACAATGTTCTTCCATTTTTACGCCTTGTTTTCTTCATGTTTTATTAGTTTGGGGATTTGCAAACGGCTAAAGCACTTTTCGAGAGATCGTTACCTAATGCGGAATTTCCACTGGGCTATAAACTTCAATTACTGATTCTACAGAATTTTCATAAGTAAATTTTCTGATATTCATCAATTAAACCTTATCGTGTCCATTTATTTCTTACTTGCACACTGCTTGAACTTATTGCAGACACTTGTTTACTACATTCTCAATGACCCTATCTATCATTGGCCAGTATACATAGCTGAGTGATAACATATCTATGTGTCCCACGCCAGGATGACGTTGGCGGAGTTGCTTCAATACTTGCCATCTGAGGGTGGTCTGGACAGCTAGACGCCCTCCAAACAGCGAGCATGAATTGGTAATAGATAATGCATCACGCCGTCGAAAATTCTCTAATAAATCATTGTTGATTTTGTTTACTCGACCATCGTGCACTTAACGCACCTGCTATAGTTCACAGTCTGCCAGTGTAGCATCCTCGAGCATATTCACCGTTACTAGCAAGACACAGGTCAAATGTGATACAACTCGGTTTACTTCTGCTTCAACTAATATTGCGGCAACAACACAACTTTTATCGATAGGTCTATTAGTTTTGATAATCTGTCAGTCTGTCCAAGACTGGTCGTTGACGTATATTTTATAGTAAAATTATTACTAAGAAGAAATTTAGTCTACCACTGGAATACATTGTGTGAACCAGATTGATAGAACAGGTTTATGAAATGTCGCCCATAGATAATACAAAACTTTTCGACTGAAAAAATGATTACTAGTATTTATTCTATTTGGCTGTTTTTCTCGGATGCATAATCAATATTCCTTGGGTAGACATCCTGGGAAATGTGAAAAATACCAGCTTTGAGTCCCCAGTTCGATGCATTTGAGGCAACAATTATTTTGAAGTTAGGGCTAAAGTATATTAGAAGCATATTGATTGGCAGCACTTCCTTAATATATTTAATGATGTTTTGACACTAAGGAGACCAGTTCCATTTCGTCTCTTCGCTCAAGAGTTTATTAAGCGATCCATAGTGATTAACTGATCCCATGAATGGTTGTAGGGAGTTAAGGCCGAATGATAATGTTCTTTGCTTTACAGACTTAATATTCTCTGGATCACATCATTTTTCGTTGCGATTGATTGATGTAAAAGTTACGTTTATCTTGTTTTAGTTTGGAACCATAATCTTTAATATGTAAGAGTACCATATCCAGACGGTTGTACCAAAAATTATAATATCATTCCCGTAAGCTAAGATACCTGATATATCTGTATGCATTACATCCACAATTCGCTGAAACGTGCTGAGGTCTCACTTGACTTCAAATGGAAGGCAAGCATAATGACATAGACCTCAATGTGCATTAATTGTAATTGATTTTCAGGATGATTCATCTACCTCGATCTGTAGATATGTATCAGCTAGGTCAATCTTAGCAAAGGATCTGCCTCAGTTCACGTTAAAAATCCTCTCGGACTTCTGTTGAAACTACACAGTTATAAACATTCGATATGCGGGTTGTAAAAAAAAAATACAATTAAGCATTTTTATAAAATTCATGAATTGGATAGCACTAGACTGATTAAATGAAATAACAATTTGGCTGAGCTAATTATTCAACAGTACTGTTTATGACCCATTACATGAAAAGTTTGAACCTTCCTATTCGCTACTTTTTACGACAACATGCATGTCAAACTTGACGTGGTGAGTGAATTAGAATATAAAGTATGGATATCCAGATAAAAATTTACAATTTAAGCGTGCGTTGGAAAATCTTGTAGTTTTGTATTTGAAACTCTATTGGTTTGATGGTTCTTTGTTATTCTAATATTTATACCAGTCTATATCATTTCTTAATTCATTCTCACTCAGTATTGTCCATCCAGATCTCAACTTTTCAGTCCTCTATCAAGATTGTGAAGCTTTTTCCTCAGTCGTTTTCTGTACGAGTAACTTAAGGCTCATAAAACTGGTGTTTACTATCTTTGCTGCTATCATCAGTGAAAGCGTAACGTTGCATAAGATTCATTATTTCTTTCCCGTTTTGTTTCATAACAGGCATCGATGATCCAGGTTCCTAGGATATCTTATTCTATGCTCACTTTTTGTGCTTCTTTGAAGATTATTAGTACAACCAGCTATATGTGTAGCACGTTTTTTCTTTCATTACTATAATACAGCTTCATCTCTCACAGCACATATCTCTGTACAGATTATGCCCAATAGGTTTCACTTATTTTAAGGAGAGCCAATTTCTATCTCATGATTTCCGTCACTGTTTGAGTGATCATTACGGTCTTCCACACTGTTATTATATTTTTATCTGTATGTTTATTGTTGACCTGGTTATTAAAAAAGCCGTCGACCCATTAGTTTCCGAAGAGTCTCAGCTTTTACCCTAAGACGTAATAATTCTTCTGTATAAATACTCTTCAGTGTTAAGTTGGCTTACATATTTTTCTGATTAGCTTTCCTATAGTGGGATTCTGGTTTACAAGGTGGGATTTCTAAGTTAACACTCATCACTTTTCATTTACTCAGACTTTGAATCATGAATAACCCTTGACGGGCTCCAGGCGATGTTAATTTATACTTTAGATAATTGCTGTAAAGTATATATTTCTCTTCGTTAAATAGCCATACGATAGTGGTATATATTTATTTTTTTAGTGCGTTGTTATCGATTGGTAAAGGGGAATATGAAGAAGCGATAATGTTCTTTGAAACTGTTCTACAATTAGATCCTACAAATGTGGCAGTGAGCACCTGTTTTCATTTATTTTTGTCTTTTTCATTTGATACTTGTGTTATAGTAAAACCCATAACGCGTGTTTCTTCTTGTTTGACACTCTCCAGCAGAATTTACGTTAAACCATAGTAAGTTGTTGTTATCCTTACTGAGGCCCAAACGTAGTACCCATGACTTCAAAAATTAAAACTTTGTCATAGATAAACTAGAATAAATCATGTAGACACGGTTGAATAATTAACTTGTTTGAGTGTTCGTTGAGACTATAATTTATGGACGACCTTTGAGCGACACCAAAGTAACGTTGAGGATGTCCACCTATTAACTGGAACTAAATGACGGTTATAAACCAGCGTGAGGAATTAGATTTAGAGTTTTCATCACGAACTGACATAAGCTGAAATACCAAAATTCTATTTAGCCAAATAAATAGACGAATTATGCGCCACAATCCAAGACCTGTTGTCCCAAATCTGATTGGTTCGTCCGTTAATTATAGTCTCGCAGAGTGTTCTTAGAAAAGTGTGTCTAAAGTCATGTGACTGAAATTCCTCCGACGAAATATATCATTCTGCCAATTAATAAAAGCTAAACTAATTCATCATCCAAAACAATTTTTACTGTTTTCATATTTACTTGAGCATCTAAAGGATGTTATTGTCCTGAGAGGCCAATTAATGACAATAAATCAGTGATTTGGTATCCTAGGTAATATGTGCGATCTTCTACGTTGATAAATATAAAGTTTTTATTACAAACTTGGGAGTCCTTTGAAGTACACACCAACGAGACATCGCGGCATCGAAGACAGCTCTCTAATCTTTGACACTTTCATATCAACTACTGAATACTGCGGTTCACATTTCGGAACTCAGTTAATTGATTGGTATGCATCTAGCTTCCTCAACAGTAGAAACTAGGACACATTCAAACTTCATTCTCCGTAGTTTTTCAAATCTCATGGGTGAGTGCCACTGTACTTCAAACCATATTGTGGTAGTAAATGTGTTTTCACTTATGGAAAACACAGTAAGTTGAACTTCTGTGTTAATTGTCAATTTCGTACTGTGTGAAAGTATAAATATGCAATAAGGATAAATATTTATTCGGGAAGACTCTAGGTCATGTAACCTGTGAGTAAAACCAGGTATCTGATGTCTAAAGACTTGTGATGTTTTCTGGACCATTGTGTTTTAAATTAGCATCAACAGGACACTTTCATCGTACCAAACTGATTCCGTGATTGTTTATGACGACCAAATTTCACTCCTCTGCTGTTTAGAACATTTATAGTAAAAATGGCATAGATTTGTCGTTAGTTCAGTACTCTTATGCAAATTATTAAAACGAAAACTCATGTGGCTAGACCTATAATAGACAGTATGTTCTTTCTATAACCGCAGCTCCTACTTTTCCAAACAGGCTGTTTGGAGAACGGTAAGACTAAAAACAGCAAACTCAGGTGTGTGGAAGAAGTTGTACTACCGACTCTATAAGGGTGTCCCTCCAGAACAGCCAGTATTTACAGCGAGTCAATGAACATGATAAAAATGTACATATATATACATAGTGAAATGAATTAATCGTCGAATCAATTAAGCGACTAATAGTAAGGCTAGTAGAATGAATTTATATGCGTAGGCAGTAAGCAATGCTCAGGCATACATATTCATACAAGTGCAACAATAATAAAGGTACAATGATATAAGTTGTTATAGTACGGATGATTCTGTCCGTTAAATAAGCTAACAAAAGGGCTTACCCAATTTAAATGTGAACGAACTCAATTGCACGTGAGCTGCTATATCCTTAAATATGACCCTTCTCACTTTATCACTACGTGCCACCAATGCTAATGATTTGAGTTAACGAAATGTTGATCTTGGTTTCTAGAAGCCGGTCTCTAGATCACATGTTGGAGCTCTTGATGTTCGGACCCTGTGTTAGATAGAACAACAAGCTTCCTTGCCTAGGACTCCTGAACTCTGCGCAATCGATGTACGCCGCGACTCCATCGCTACTTCCTATGAACTAACTGGTGTAGTTATAGCATTAAGTTGAAAAGTAGAACAGGCTCTACTAGACTGGTGGTCTGTCCGACTAAGCAGGATAGTCGGAACTCTGAAAGATAAGATATCACACTTTCCTCGTCATCTCTGCCTACGACCCCACTAATCACAGCTCGGATGAAATAAAAGACTAATTTTATGAGAAGCTTTCTAGACTCCGTCAAAAATCTAAATGCTTGGATATGGTGATAGTGGTAGGTGATTTTGTACCGAAATATGTAAACTAAAGCAAACTGAAAAGCACTTATGACGAATCTTACGATGCCGCGTCTCTACACTGATAATGGTGACTGCCTGCTGTCATTGTGCTCAGATAACCGTCTTTTCGGCATGCACAAAATTTTATTAAAAGTAAAGCATCATCTGAATTTGCGACCCATATAATTGACTGGACAATGGACTTAAATTGCCCACGTTGCCGTTAGCCATCGTTGAAGAGGCTCGATATAACACTGTCACCCATCCTGGAGCATGCATTGTGCAGGTCTTCAGTCGGTAACAACGTAGAAGTTCGTACGTACGTACATCAGTTCTAGTTGTCATACCTTATTAGATGCAGTTTTCGATAGCAAAACTATCTCGGAAAATGATGGTAGTACTACTCACTCTCAGTTTAGGAGGCTGGACCGATAGACATAACATTTTAGGAAACAGTTTAATTGACCTTCAACCGCATTTCAGTTATCCACTGTATCCTAACGATCTTACTGACAAATTGATGCAAGTCCTCTAAAACTTAATGAAACAATAAACAATCTGTAACAAGCGGGAGCCTAATGGTGGTCCAGTCTTAGCAGTTAAATGATCTGAGCCCTTAGCTAAAATCTGTGAATTGTGCGTAATCTCATCTGACAGGTTTCGATCGCTGATCGTCCCAATTTAAAAGAAAGGAAAAATCCATTTGTGACAGCAAAATCAGTTTGACTAATTTAATGTCTATAATATTATCTACAATGATACTTTGACGCCCAACTAGAGCGAATGTGAAAATGTTAGACTGGTGTCAGACGTAGACCTCGATTGATAGACAATACTCAACGTTCAGCAGATTCTTGGCACATAGATATAGTTTTCGATGTCCGACTACAGTTGTGTTCCTTTATATTATGGTGGAGTTCTACTCTGCAGATCGTGATATTCTATGCCAACCTCTGTCACTGACAAACGTACTGAATAGACAGTTCTCTACTCGATCGCTACTGGTCAAGTTAGAACTTACGTCGAACTTGGATATACCAAGATTGCTAGGTGATTTGGGCTATGAAAATAGTGTAAAGCTGTTAGATAGGTGGGAAGAAATCATAGCGTATACATGTCTGTATACGAGTAAACTTTAATACTATGTCAAATAAAAGGGTTCATCGGAGGACATTCCGTGAAAAAAATAGGAAAGATTGAGTGAGTAAACCAAACATATAATGGTGACTGGTTGCTGCAGCTATCCTCGGACAATTGTTTATTTCTAGCAAGCACCAATTATGAGCACGATATACGCATTCGTCTGATACGGCAACCGACTCAACGGTAGACCCAAATAGAATACATTGTAATCAGCCTATGTTAGAAAAGCTCAATAGAAGACCGACTCATTCTGAAGCATATATTTTGGCTGATGTACATATATCCAACGTTTTACATTGCATTTAACGGACTGACTACCACTTTTTTCAATCAATAAAGCTACGTTCGAAATAGATCTATCAAATGTAGGAAGCTTTTCAGCATGTGTTCCTGCTAGCTGACAGTGATCGATAACTTTATTGATCATTAATTTCTATATGCCGGTTTTAACGTTGTACGATGGCATCTAAGAATCATTTAGCCTCAAAGAAATGGATATACATTTCTTTTACTAAATTGCTGTTTTCAATGAGTCTCATCACCTTAGGTGAATATATAAATAGTTTATAAGATTGACATTTTCATTTAAAGTCGAAAATTGAAGTTAACAGTCACTTTACCGTAAGTTGTCTATGTTCAGTTTTTTGCTATACAATCTTCCTCATTTCATTCATATTCCACAATTCAGGCGGCCAATAATTTAGCTATTTGTTCTTTATATGTTGGACGACTATCAAAATCAATTGAAGTGTTGGAAGATCTAACAACAACTGGACTAACTAGTCAACCAAGAAACAATTTAGGCGTTATTACAACTGCTTCAACAACTACAGGATTTTCTACATCATTCATGTTCAATGCACGATGTCGTCGATTCTGTCTACATGATGTAATGATTTCAAATTTAGCTGTATTATATGAGGTAGAATCAGATCTGGCCACATTGAAAAAAGTAAACTTACTGAAAAAGTTGATTGAAATATCTGGCGAACCAGTGCACATATCATCATTTAAATTATCTATGAAACAATAAAACAATAATTAGTACGTAATATTAACAAATATCTTTCATTCTAAATCACTTGAATAAAAAAGAACATTTATTTGATTGATGCCTATAAAAACATTGTTAAAGCTAACCTCCAAAATTATATCTCATATTAGAACATAATAATTCACTGTTTCGGTTTTACTTACTTACACCTGTTACTCGTGGAGGAGCATAGGCCGCTCAGCAGCATTATCCATCCAACTCTGTCCTGGGTAATCCTTTCCAGTTATATATCCAGTATCTGCCTCCGATTCCTGACTCAATGTGTTCTTTGGTCTTCGTCTTTTCATTAACTCTTTGGATTTCCAATTTAATAAGATTGTCGAATTTTTACCACTAGAATAACAGACAATTTTGAACGCACAATGGATGTTAGACAAATAGAAACGATAAAGCAGTTAGTATTATCTTATGAATTAAAAGAACACGAAGTTCAGTGAATGGATTTATCATGTAAAATCGTATATGTGTGAAAAAAACTTTCAAGATTAAGGACGTATGAGCAAAGAATACATATGATGATGTAATAGAAAAGTTATGATACCGGATTATATAATATAAGCAGTAAAGATCTAAGATTGTGTATGCAAATAGAAAGGCTTGTACGTTGACAATAGATTTTAATCTGAAAGCAGTAAGATAATTAAAACGTTCGTTACTATAATCAAAAGTAATAGCGGGGTTAAATGAAATGATGTTAGAAAGAATTATCGATATGAGAAAACACTAAAGAACGAGAATATCATCAAGTACGAAATACAATAATGATCGTAGTTATCGATTTCTATAGCTGTTATGACTTTCTGTCCGGCTTTTTATCACGTGATTTATGCGCCAATCAGAATACGACTTATACAATCTCAGCACTGTGCCTAACCGATGACGTTTGACCGGTATGAGCAGCCTAGCGTCCAAATTGGTCCTATGTTCGCCTAGCTCGTCCACTTGAGTCCAGAACAACAATACCAGCTTCCACTATGCGAATCATATATTTCAAACATAATGTGTTTATATATCAAACAAAAATCTGACTCCCCAAAGATGTTACGACTCCTGGCCATGCATAGTTTTCGAATTCTTGTCTAACTGCTGAAACGCTAGATCCTCTAGAAAATAATAGTGAGGAAAGATGAGTCAGAGTCCCTGTCTCCCAGCTGATGTTTCAAAATGCTAAGTTAGTGATAATGGAAGTCACAATGTCGAACCATTCAGACCTAAACTCAACGGCTCATGTGCTGACGCTTCCCACAGTCCTGCACAAACACATAGACGATACAATGAGAACTTGAATCTTTTGAAAATGTTTTGGTATTCAAAATATCACCCCACCAACCAGTTTCGATTCTCAGTTGTACGCCCGTGTCAGCACAGATTCTCAAAGACTGCTTCCTTCCCTAGTGAATTCTCTAACAAAACTTTCCAAACTCCCTTCACAGTGTACCTTCAGCCTGGAAAATAAATTAAAGCCTGATGACGATCTAATTGAAAAAAAACTGTTCGCTTATATGTGTTGTTCTAATTTTCACAATGTGAATCTTTAATATTGTAAATTACATTTGTTGAGTCCAAGCATACACTTCAAGAGGAGCAGCAATTAGCAGTAACAATGTTGTTTATTATAGACACTAAGCTGTAAGTTATTAATTGAAAAGCAGTTTTCTCGTAGCCACTGGTGAAGTGGAACCTTGGGAAATTCATTGGTTGTATAAATTGAGGCGTACGCAAAGGCCCATTATTGTTTGTCCCTAACTTCTTTCAACCAACACCAACACTAGTTGGCATTGAGCGTCATGGTAATTAGTGTTCAGGCATACACAACCCGTGGCCCAGACATCATTCCCCAATACATTGCAGCTAACCTCACTATTACTTAACCGGTGATTACAGATGCGAGAAATTTTCCTAAGGCACCTGTGATCAAATACTAGTAGCTTACGAATATCTTCTACCATTAAAGGCCACCTTTCGCAGCCGTAAAGTAAAACAGAACGAACTGCCGCGCAGTATACTCGTCCCTTGATTGATAGACGGAAGGAGCCACTCACTTAATAGTCACAGCCGTCAAGAAAATGACAAACCGATGAGTGATTAGTTCTTACTTATGATCTCATACCTGACAAGCATGTGTACCAAGTCGCGGGAAATTTATTCTTGTGCAAAATCAATAAATTCAGACAGAATCATATTCCATTAAAATTGTAAGTCATTAATAGTCCATACATCCTGGCTGGTAATATGAGGGTGTTATTATTGTTTTAGTCTGGATGTTTCAATATGTGTTAAACGCCGTAAACTATGGTGGTCAAATAACATCTAAGGTTCTGAACGAAATCGTGAACTATTGAGCCTCCAAATTCTTGGTTAGTCTTAATTGAAATATCTGCACCTCACTGAAATCCCTTATCAAAAACCATTTATTTAGATCATACTTTCTAAACACACTGACTCCCACAAATATTAACATCTGAGATATACGGAATACACAAATCACGTTAGAACCTGACGACTATACAGTATTTTGGAGTTAAGGTGGACATTTACAAGTAATTTCGACCGCAGTAGCTGAATTCAGATACCTCTTGTGACAATCACAGAGGAATTAGTTTGACTAGTATTGAGTCTGAAACATAAGCCCCAATAGTACTTCGATGTCTAACCAGAGCTCATGAAGAGCAAATCTGAGAAAACATGGGTGGTTTCAGACCTGGATGTATAGACTAAAACCTCAAAGCCCGTCTGGTCGTGGAACACAGACATATCATCCCGATGTCCGACTACAGGCGTGTCCTTTGACCTTGAGTCGACGTTCGACCCCGTTGATCGTGAGGTCTTGTGGCAGTCTCTCTCAATAAAAGTCGTACCAAGAAAGTACACTAACCCTTTAGAAGCCCTACTCGAACAGTATTGATTGAGTTGGAGTTTGTGGAGAACTTTCGTCGGAATCGGTTACTGCAAGTGGTGTTCGTCAGGGTTGCCCGATTTACCCATTTTGTCATAGACATGCCTTTGAAAATAACACTTCCATCGTCTGGCTTTTCAGGGATAGAACTCCTACCAGATGATGTAGTTCCGTTTGATGAAGACGCTAACAAACTAGTCTTTTGACCACCCTAAGCAACAATGCAGACATCTTTGAGATGCAGCTATCCTCATTCAGAGACATGAATGGCACGGTTAAGCAAGACACTATCGTTCAAGAACACGTGGTATTTGTACTAACTGATGACTTCTTTGTACTTGACTCCGGGCTTATTACCAATTCCAAATATATCACGTTCAATTGTGCTGATCTATCTTAACTTGTAATAGATTGGGCTATTTGGAGAATTCTTAGTCAGCACATCAATTCGACTACTTCTAATCATTTTAGAATATCACTCACATGTGAAGCTATTTATCAAGATAAACATACTATGTGACAATAAAAGGATGGATACAAATTACTCTTTATATCATGTCACTGTTCACAATGGGTAACAAAGTACAGTTCGCTACATTTGACAGGAAGCAACCTAGAAACAGTGAAAACTATGAGTGAAGAGAAAAAAAATCAGAAACTATAACGAAACGTAATTATAATTAATGGTAATGTAAGAATAAAAACTGAATTCCTCAAACACAAATGAAGTATTGACGTGTGCTTATATGAGCAACGCTAATTTAAGAAATAAAATACTGACCATAGATGAAAATCCCCAAACAACTTACACCAAAATCGAAGTCACACAGAATAGTGGAAAAAACATACACAAAGTACAGAAGGTGAGGAAGAGGAAAAAACGTTGAAAATAATCACAGCTTAAGAATTTCATACAAAAACAAAGAGGAACAATATCTGGACATGATTAGGCATTTTAATCCACCTTGACAACCGAGTATATTTTACGAACGAATCTATAAGCAGCAATGTATCCAACTGAACCTTGAAAAGAAAGAGATAATTGTTTAAGTTTTCATGCACAGCTGGTTATATTAGAAAGTAAACATATAGAAAAACGGATTGGCATATATATAAATATATATCACTTTATACGTAAGCCAGATTAAGCATCTTTAATAACCACAGATTCAGATAATTTTTAGAGAAAACAAATTTTCCACGATGATCATAAGTGAACACTCACCAACAACACCAACATATGTAAATAATCACAAAAGATGAAGTGTGAGTGAATAAGAAAATAAATGAATACTAACTGAATGGAGACATCATATATACTTTATTCTATACCTAACAGTCGTAAACTTGTCGGTTATGTTCCACTCAGATCAACCACAAACAAAATCAATCTCACTTATCTACAACACAGCGCCCTGAATAATAAATGTTACATGAAAAAACATCTGCAGCTGAAAAATTTACAAATTACATTGACAACACCAGTACATGCAGCACAAAATGAGTAATACCTGTGTAAGGGATATAGTACTATGTAGTAATAACAGACCGATTGATGAGGTAGTAAGTATTCATCAATTGAGGTGGTTGGGACGCGTGTTACGTATGCTTATTCTCTGCTTACTTCAACGGGCGATGTTTTCTAGTGTAGGAGTAGACCGGAAGAAATTTAGTGGCAGCCTAACCAAAACATAGCATTGGACCATGAAGTCACAGACAATTGGACTGACCCATGTTAAAAAGTATAGATAACCTGGTTAGGGTCCGCGTGATTATCGTAACCAATGGTTAAAGACTTTGGAAGACACGGCTCAAAATCGTTTGAAGTGGCGCAGTGCATTCGTTCTATATCTCCCCCTAAATTCACCGTAACCTTTTTTGATTTTGCTTCACTAAATTATATATTTTTTCGAATAGTATCTTCGATGCCCATTCTCCCCCATTACCACTGATACTTACTACCTCTACTATTCTGTGATTTGGCCAGACAATTCCATACCTCTGTGCTACTGGGGTATGACAACTTGAACTGATGTACTTACGTAGCTGGTTCTACCTTATGACTGACTGACTGACAAGTTCCCCAAATTTTATCGAAGTTGAAAAGGTCATAACTAATTTGAGGCAGGTCAGAGTAGCAGAATCCCGAGTCCTGTAAGAATGGTGGATTAGTTTACCAATTAGGTGAAATGAGATATCAAAATCTGAACGTATTTTCTCCTGACTAGTATCATTCGACGATCTCCCCAGTTTAAAAAAAGAACGGAAACTCCTATGTGGTAACAACAGAGGAATTAATTCGAGCAAAGTAGTATCTAAAACACTAGTCTCAATAGTCATCCGACGCGTAATCAGGGCTTGTGAACTGGAAAATCGAAAACCCAGGTTGGTTTGAGATGTGTGTGTAAGTGTAGGTCAAATACCCTTTTCTATTCACATTTTCTAGACTCTACTTTCTGACTATCTGACCGACTGATAAATTTCTGGTCCAAACGTGCACATACGACTACCCGATCTCTAAGCACCAGCTAATTTCCTTAGTCGCGATAGAGTTTCAGTATTAAAAATATTGCAGTTATCTGGAGTGTGAATGTGAGGACTAATTTCATAAGATGTGGCAAAGAACATGTTGAATTTCCTAATCTCCTTGTGTTTTGGACGTTGGAAATGGTGTTGGTTGTATTAAATTCTGTACCGTTTAATGACAATGGCACATTTACTTTCTAGTTTCGGAGTATCACATTTTGTCTAGGTAATTCATCCACTTGACCAAACTAGGCTGTCTGTTTTTATTTAATTATAAATCGTGTACAAGTATTATGATCTTGCTAATGAGTCACAATATAAAATGGAATGCCTCTTTCGCATGCAAAAATGAAAATGCGTGGTATGTGGTCTACAGATAAATTAAATTAGGGACTAAATCATTTTGTGCAATTTCTTGACTGAAAAGAATAACCCTAAAACGTTTTATATCTGACTGTATTTGGTTTCAGTAGGGTTAAGTTCTGAGTGCAAGTGCTATTGATTTTGATTCTACATCTGGAAAACGTTATTTGATAACTGGATCACTATCATAATTAGAAGTATCGGCGGATTCAGTTATATCTAGTTTAGGATTATAGTACATCAACAGTAAATTAGTGGATAAAAATCGATTCTCCGTGGATAGTCTATTCGTCGAATTTACAAAATACTATACTATCATAATCATATCAAGAAATGACTCTAGGTTAGTTAAATATGGTGTCGGTATTTGTTTGGTATGACTTATGTAATTTGGATTCTTCCGATGATCATTTTTATGAAAAATAAATCCAGGATACTTAACAGAATAAAAAAAATATTACAAATTAAACAGATAATAGCAGTACATGTTATTTTCAGTAACCACTAAATCGGTATTAAAAACATCAAAATAATTCGAAAATGTTTTTCTAACTATAAAAAAGACAAGTAGCCAAAACGTTTCATGCAATACAAAATCCTTCTGCCCTCAATAGAAAGAAAGGCCTGAATACTCATCCAACTTGGATTGTTTATCCAAACAACCACATTTAACTCTATTCATTCCCGACCCAATCTCCACTTACACTCAAATTCTAACTGCATTCTTTCATATTAAAAATTAGACATTTTTCATAACCACCATCATACACAGAATGACGTCTCATACAGAAGCACCTTAACCAAAAATTCCACATAACATTGATATAATCAAGCCTATTTCCAGTGGAACTCAATACTTCGTCCTTTTCCTGTTTTATTTAAGGTGTGTTAATTTGATTGCATTATCTATTTATTTACTCTGAAGAACTGGCTTACATTAAGTCGCCAGACGTCGGAAGTTTCAGTTCTCACTATTTTGAATATTCATAAGAAATAGTATAGCGAACAACTGTTAACGCAACGTATAATTTATTTGAAACAATCAAGTTACACATTGCTAATGATCTTTATAATAATAGTGTGAATTCACCAGTGCAGAGTTAATGGGAAGTGCTACATATGAAGCTTGTTTTGTAATAGGTTGATGTGAACAGAAAAACAAGAAATCTTGACAAACTACGGAAGCCATTTTTTGGGACGTTATTCTCTTTAATCCAAATCTTGTAAAACAGTAATATTTACGTTTGTCCGAAGTGTATTCTACAGACCATAAGCTCTTGTTTGATGTATGATTCACTGCCATAGCCTTTTCTGTTCCAAGGCTACTATAATTTAAACGTAATATTTTACACTATATTTTCTACTATAATACCCAGTTTTGGACAAAGTTGTAGTTACCTGATTGTTTGTGCGTTGTAGTCTGGTTAGTCATCAATTTATTCATGTATCTTCTCACACTAATCTGAATCACGAACCAGATCGGAATTGGGAATAAACCGAATAGTGTTCCAGTTGATTTGTCTTCTCTCGCTTGAGTGCTTGTCAACCCATCAGATGATAGAATAGTTTTCGTCTCTCTATGCCAAGCAGTTGGTCTCACTCCGAACCCATGCATGCTAGCCTCAAGGTTAAACCAGTCAAACTATCGCGTCAAAGTCTTAATCTATCGAAGTGGGTAGACAGATCAAGGACGTAACATAGGTAGATACCTCATCAGTCCCTTCCCATGGTGCAGGGTGTTAGATCACGAATAAGCCTTTTATATTCCTACTGAGACTTTGTCGATGACCAAATTATAAGTAAGGGCTCGAACAGCTAGGCCTTTATTTGTAAACGTGACAGTGCAGACTAGAAATGAACTTGTCTGCCGAAAAGTACTTAAAATTCAAAATTCTGAAATCGCTACTCAAAGCACCAGTACTTTTATTTGAAGAACAAAGAATTTCGCATTACCTCATATTCGAATAAGTTTAAAAGTGTGCGACCAAAGAGACTTACCACAAAGTAACCCTATACATAGGCAAAACAATGCCATATAACCGAAATAGAAAGTAGTTTGAAATAGACCAAACATTCTGAAATTGAAACAAAGAAGAATATTAATAGTGAGGATTTTACATTTCAGTCATCTCTACTACACATTAAACATTAAACGTTTGGTTAAATAGAGCCTTGAAAAATGTGTTTTACGTGGCAAAACGAGACATAAAAAGATGGATTTCATTTAGTTGGAAAGTATGTTTTACTGTTTATGAAGTATAATGTAGAAAACTACAGCGAGGCCATCACTGATTTTCGTTTTAAGTCAGGTCTCATAAATGTCTTAAGATAATGAGTTGTATGACAATTTAGAACCCACAGTGTCGTGATAAATGAATATACACAAATCCGATACGACTATCCTTCATTTCTCAACACCACATCTCAAATTTACCACTATTCCGCCTCTACTTAGTCCTATATCGCTAAATGGTGAGCCATTCAGATCCAGCTGGGGAAACATGTAAGTCACACGACCCATCGGGACAGAGTGGAACTGCCCTGTTTGAAAAGTGCAAACACAATCATGGACATCAGGATCACTTAGAAAGTGACACCACTGAATATAGGCAATTTATTGAAGATATCGATGACACGTTATATACTAAAATAGCAGTCCAAAGCTGAAATACAAGGAAACATATGTTGACAGATACTCACTTGGTTTTGAAGAAGTAGTAGTAAATCGAATATAAATATGCATAAAACGTGATCGATGCACCAGAAAGAAAACTTGTCCATTGCCTAATAAAGCAGGATATTAACAGTAATAACAATAATAATAAAGGCCATCCAATAAAAACACACAAGAAAAGGAATACAAGAATATTCATCAATATATGACAGTGCGATTAATACTATTTTAATGCAAAGAAACCTTGGTGTTTAAGTGTACGTTGTTCTAGTTGAACTCGGTGGTTTTTCCAATTCATTAAAAATAATTTGCTAAGAAAATTCAGAAACTAGTTTTCCAATGAACAACATAGCTTGATAATGTTATTAAAGTATGCGGTTTTAAATCGCTTCAAGGAATGGAATCGAAGATGTTATAAAGATTTGACGGTACAACGATTTGTGGAGGCTAAGTGGTAAGATTTCTTGATTTCTTTTACCGTCGTATTACAGACCTGAATCTTGCTTCAAAAACCTTTTTCTGACCAACAAAACAGTACGACTGATACTTACACAGAAAGTGCCATAAAGCAGAAACTCAGGTAAATGCGTTACAGTATATGTCTTAAACTAAAATGAAACAGTTAAGCAATGTTATCTCTTTCTAGTCACTCAATAGCTGATGTTAAATTATGGACAAGTTAATTTCAAAATAAACTAAGCTACCAAAAATACTAATGCGTAAGGATATATGTATGTGGATTAATCCCGATAAGAATGCTTAGATGGGAATTATGAATCTGTTGAAGAAATATATAGAGGGACTTAATGGGCTTTTACGTTACATCCCTAAACTTATGCTAGCGAAATGTGATATTAACCATGAGTTGCATCCAGATCAATGACAATCTTAAAGATCTATCAATATCACAGGAGAAAATACACTTTTAACAAGAACTTGAGTTGGAAAAAAAGCCGCAAAGTAGAGTTGCATTAGTTATCTTAACAATAATCGCAAATCTTGAGTATAATATTTCAAACTGCTATTAAGTAAGACCATTCTCATATGGAGTTTTCATAATTAGACAGAGAATTTCTGTATTCAGGATACCCGAACCTCAGTCAGCGGAGAGGATTCAAACTTGAGAACTGTCAGAAAGTTAAGTGGATTGGTCAGTAACCTGACTCTAAACCAGTTTTCATGGTAAAACTACAAAATAATTGAGTTAATCTCACTTACCAACGATAATCCTCAGAATTCAACAAGAAATAGGTGCCCACAACAGTAACAGATGTTGTCACAGCAATTAGAAGAAATAAAACAAGCAAAGTGAAGCCAAAAACAAAGTAAATTTTATACGCCCAAAATGATGTGAAGACGAAATATCTACAATTAAGCAATTAGAAAGAGAAAAGATGAAAAGTTGAAGTGTGAATTTCCGAGTTATAAAATACAAAATATTCTCTTCTGATTATGTTAAATTAAGTTTGATGTATATTCTCATTTACTGATACCAACATTCAGTTGAAGTGTAGTAGCTGGTCACTCGACGATAGCTAAAAGAAAAGTGATGAAACGATTTTGGAGTTTAGTTGACATTTGTCTATCAGATGAATTCACTTTACTGAGTTCTGAAACTCACTTACAATGATTTTATTTCTTTCCCTGCTTAATCTTTTCTACTACATATGTAAATGATACTACTTCTACTACTATGGGATTAAATTTGATGATTTTATCTCACAGTGGTGATATGATCTGAGAAGTGGAACCCATGTAAATATGTCGCCGATTCCGTGTTAGATATTACGGACCGATTTCACTATCAGCATTAAACTACTACAAGAAGAAATGTATGTTCGTTTTTGGTCTAAACCATTTCGATACTTTGCGTAGAGTGAAAGTAAAATACCAAATCTTTGAAATTCCGCCGATATTGCTAGATTCAGTGATTGGATTTATGTATTCAAAGAAATGCAGATTTCTAGGTAGATTATTTAACCACATATTACGGAACAGATGTGTAGCATACTAAACATTCGTTTACCCAAATTAATAACAGAAAACAATAGGACTATTGTTAGCGGGACATAGACTAGATTAAAGCATGTTTAATGCATGATTGCTTTGGTGCACGCTGATTGGCTGATTCTTATCCAATCAGCACTAGTCGATAGTTGGAGAATACTCTGGAATCTTCTTATGTAAAAACTATAAATATACTGACGTTTTCCCTATTGTGCTTTTGACTTGCTTCTTGCTTCCATCTAACCTTGTTATTTGGAATATAATCTCTTCCTGTTCAACCGTGTTTTGATTTGGGGACTTGTCGAGTGAATCGGTGTCCAAGAATACTAAGCAATAGGAATAGCTGGGTCATAACAAGTAAGAAGAAAGAGATTATAACAGTGGCGACGGGGAAAAACTAAAGAAAAATGGCGATCTCTTTAGAACAGTTGCGGTTAATATTACAGCACCAGCAGAAGTTGTTAACCTTGCAACAACAGCTATTGAGCACACTTTTCACTCGACCAGAAAATAAGAAACCTGTTTATGATGCAGTAACAGACATTTCAGAAGCATATCTAGTGGAGGGTTCAAATCCCTTTATACCTGAATCAGAACGTGATATTTGTAACGTGTCCGGCTCACAGCAAGAAAATACTGTGCTGAATGCTCATAAAGTTGTGGCGCTACGAGATGATCAAGAGCCAGACCCTGTAGATGAAGCCCGGAGTCCAGAATTGAATGAAACACTACTGGTCCTGTCTAGTTCTGAAAATAAATTTCAGCTAGAACAAAGTTATGGTCCACGTGATATTAGCCGAAAAAGCTATGGAGACTCGTATTCAGAAAATAACTTCAGTGACACGATGAACCCAATTATACCGAATGTCACACAAAATCATTGTGAGACAGAAATTTGTGCTGAATCAGCTTATCCGATTTCTAATGACAATGTATCAGATATGGGTTCTCAGAATAATGCATGGAATTTTGATGAAATTTCTTATAAAAATGAGGAAGATATGTCGGCTGAGTCAAATTATGGTCAAAAGTCTAATTTAATTTTGTTAGATGTTGATTTCCGTAATGATTCATTATCCACTGATGAAATTTCTAATGGATTTGAAAGTAATGCTTCAGAAGAATTAAACTCTGACCTCAAATCAAAGGTCGTTCATTATCATTTAGTCATTTCTAGTGGATCCGACATTCAATGTGAGAAACATCGTTTAAATAAAGTCCTATTATTTGTAATTTGGAGACATAAGCACCCAACATTATTTCGCGGAGGAGGAGAATGTTGGAGAATTAAAAGTTATGCATACTTTTATTTAAAAAAAAATAAAAACGCCGGGAACAGACATGTCAGTCTCTGCGAGAAAAAAAGTGATAATTCTTTATTGCCTAGACGATGAAGTAATCGGAAGCACAAGCCAGTCACTCAGTTGCAGTTGGACCCTAGCACCAGATCCTACGAATTTGCTCAGAGGGGAGGTGTTAGCGGGACATAAACTAGGTTAAAGCATGTTTAATGCATGATTGCTTTGGTGCACGCTGATTGGCTGATTCTTATCCAATCAGCACTAGTCGATAGTTGGAGAATACTCTGGAATCTTCTTATGTAAAAACTATAAATATACTGACGTTTTCCCTATTGTGCTTTTGACTTGCTTCTTGCTTCCATCTAACCTTGTTATTTGGAATATAATCTCTTCCTGTTCAACCGTGTTTTGATTTGGGGACTTGTCGAGTGAATCGGTGTCCAAGAATACTAAGCAATAGGAATACCTGGGTCATAACCGCAAGAAAGAGAGAGTTATAACAACTATGTAATATAAAACACTAACTTCCCACAGTGTGAGCAGCCTGGAAGTGACATCAGCCCTCATACACGTAACAGCACAAGAGACCAAGTTGGTCACAATCAAACCCTTCCTACACATCCCAATAATTCTCTTATCATCACGACTAATCATTCTTATGTCCCTTTATCATCTCGCATCGCTAGTGCAAACGATTCGAGTACATGGAAAGTTATTCCCGGTCTCCTGAAACAACTCTCTAAAATACATGTAGGAGCTTCGAACATCCGAACACTGGGCCAAATAGGACAACAGGCTTTCTTAGCTAGGACTTTGGAATCTCGCGCCATCGATGTGTGCTACATCTCCGAAACGCGCATACAGGATCCAAGTAGCGCCATTCATTTAACCTCACTATATCAAAATAAAGAACCGACTCGATTCACGCTTCGTGTATCTGGAAGCCCTGATTCTGCTACCCGTGGCCTCACCGGCGTAGATATAGCATTGAGTCCTAAGGTAGAACTTGCTCCCTTAGAGTGGATCCCAGTAGATAGTCGTTTGTGCGCTGTCCGACTAAATGGAACAGCAAGGACTCAGAAAGATAGGGACACAGGTTGTTGCCTCTTCGTCGTCTCTGCCTATTCTCACACTGACTGCAGCTCACATGATGTAAAAGATGAGTTTTACAGAAAGCTTTCCGACCTTCTCCGAAAAGCTAGGCGCTCTGATATAGTAATAATGGCTGGTGACTTTAATGCTCAAGTAGATAAACTAAGCGATAGGGAAAGACACCTAGATGGATCTTATGGTGTCGTGGCTCAAAGAACAGCTATGCTCAGATAACCGCCTGTTTCTTGCAAATACTAACTTTAAACATAAGGAAAAACATCTTTTAACATGGAGACCCCCTAATTCGTCCCAACGTTGGACCCAAATAGATCACATCGCTATCAGCCACCGATGGAGGGGCTTGATAGAAGACTGTCGCTCATTCTGGAGCACATGCCTAGATTCAGATCATGCTCTAGTGCGAGCGCGTATTTGCTTGCGTCTTACTGGACGTAGGAAAGACGCTGCAAGGAAACCTCTTAGGGGCCTACTTAATGATAGTCAAGCTAAGAGTATATTTCAGGAACAACTAGGAAAACAGTTAGGCAGCCATGTATGTGATGCTCACCCCGATGCAGCATGGAATGATATCCGAAAAGCTGTGGAAACAGCAGTGATATCTGCTAGTAAGGTAAACCAGAAGGTTAGGGAGCAACACTGGATCTCAGCAGCATCTATCTCACTGATAGATGCTCGTAAACTCATTCCACCTGGCTCTGAACATAATGAAGAGCGGAGTCAGCTTAAGCGCAAGCTGACAAGAAGTCTACGCAATGATCGCGAACAATGGTGGGTAGCGAAAGCAAGAGAGATGGAAAAGGCAGCGGCAATAGGTAATAGCAGACAATTGTTCAGACTCGTTAAGGAAACCGGAATTAGGAACCCGACCGTTAGCGAAACAATCTCAGAGAAAGGTGGACATATTATTCATTCTCAATCCAGGAGATTGGATCGATGGGCAGAACACTTTAGGGATCAGTTCAGCTGGCCTTCAATCACACTTCCGTATCCCACGATCTCCAGTCGACCTGAATGGCAAGTTGATGTAAGTCCTTCAACTCTTTACAAAGTTAAAAAAGCTATAGGAAATCTGAAGTGTGGGAGAGCAGCAGGCCCTGACAGGTTTGCCCCTGAGATTTTCAAGGATAGCGGTCCAGTACTAGCAGCGAGATTGAATGAGGTCTTAGAATCTGGGAAGTGGACGTTATCCCATCTGACTGCTCTCAATCTCTGATTGTGCCAGTTCATGAGAAAGAACAAAAGTCCTCTTATGATAATCACAGAGGAATCAGTTTGACTAATATAGTGTCTAAAATATTAGCTTCAATAATACTTCGACGCCTAACTAAAGCTTGTGAAGAGCAGACTAGAGAAAACTAGGCTGGTTTTCGACCTGGACGTGGTTGTATAGACCAGATATTCACACTACGTCAGGTTCTCGAACACAGACACACATTCAGACGCCTCACAATGGTAGTATTTCTCGACCTTAAGGTGGCATTTGACTCTGTTGATCGTGAGGTTCTATATCAGTGTTTTTCACTGAAAGGAGTACCAAAGAAGTACATTAACCTTATAAAGGCTCTCTACTTGAACACAACTGGTCGAGTGAGAGCTTATGGCGAACTGTCATCATAATTGATTACCTCAAATGATGTTTGTCAGGGTTGTCTACTCTCTCCATTCTTGTTTAACTTTATCGTTGACGTGCTTTTAGAGATAACACTTTCCTCATTTAAATTTCCAGAGGTTGAACTTTTACCGGGAGATTCACTTGTTGACTTAGAATATGCCGATGACATAGTTCTATTTAGTGAAGACGCTGACAAAATGCAGAGTCCTCAAAACAAAGGAAGAGATTACAATGGATATCGTCCGATGTAACCCACCTACCAACGATAGCAGTGGAGAAGATTAAAATTAATTTAATAAGGAGGTTTCAATCCATAGTAAACAAATGTTCAGGATAATACCTGACCATCCTGATGGGGAACTTAAACTTCGAGGTTGGTATGTACAATACCGGGTATAAAAATATCATGGGATGACATGGACTGGGAGAAAAGACGGGAACGGTGCAAGAATGATAAATCTACATGTTTTAAACAAATTGGCTATATTTGGTAGCATTTTTGCTCACAAAAGTTATATGGGTTCCCACCGATTACGTTATAGAAAACCAGATCGATCGCATCTGCATCAGCAGGCAATTCAGAAAACCTGTGTGAAACATGAGGACAAAGAGAGGAACTAACACAACTGCAGACCACCACCTGATCGTGACAATACAAAAACTAAGGCTAGAGAAGAACCGGAAAAGTAGACGAACAGAACTACAAAATTTCGACGCAACCTTCATTTGAAATGTTGACAAACTCAGCGACTTCAATATAGCTCTAAAAATTAAATTCTAAACATATAGAGAACCTTATACATACAGATACCTAGGTAAATCTAAACAGAGAAAAAACAACAAAAACGAAAATAATTCTTTCTATTTCACGGTTTCTCATCAACTGCGTACAACCTAGAATTATAATTACCTACATTATTAACAAATGTTAAACAGACTTTAGTTTTTGAAGTTTACATAAATGTTCGAAACGTTACTAAAATCATAATGATAAAAAGTACACGGACACGAAAAACTGGAGGATATCCCACGAAGAAGCCAATAAATTGTATCAACAATTAGTTTTCACTTTGAATTTACAATATCCAAAAACAACCTTTGCGACTGTATTACCGCTGATAATCTGTCAAGAACAAGCATTGCCAGTGGCGTATACAGGTTACAGCAGCTACTTAGGCATCCATTACTTGCTCTGAACAAACGTATGTATATATGTATTTCTATCATGCTTAAGTTACATGGAACCAGAGAACAACAAACACGAATGAGAGCTCCGTGTACAAAAGAACTTCCGTCGCTCGCACTTAAACCATCGCTCTGTGGAGCCGAAGTCATATACCTAGACAATAGACCATATTCACCAAGAAGCAACCTACTAGTCATATTCTCAAAAAATAATAATTGATTTTGACGGTCGACTTACTTTGACTCGTTTATTTTGGAAAATATTGGTCGAGTGCTGGGGACAGCTCGTTGCTATCACATCGCAATAGATTTGAAATATGACCTTAGATATATTACCTTTGATTTTACCGTTCTTTATTAGACCTCCCCATCATAAAAGGGCATCGAAGAAAAAGTATTCGAGCTAATATGGTTCAAATGAGTCATTGCAATAGACCACCATATCAAGGTAACAGCAAATGTTATTATACACACCCTCTCTTTGAAATATATTCGCCGATGCTTAATTTAGTAACTATTATTTCTTTTTCATTTCATCCCATTGTTCTATGAAGCACAACAACTTGGGCAGTCGAAAAAATTGCTCCAGGCCCTAAGTTGCTTATGATTGACTACATTAAGAAAAGCAGCATTTATTTGATGCCATCTATATTGGTTAGTGATTCGTAAAATGTCAGTTTCTAAGACCTGTTCAATATAATGGAAGGATGAAATCAACAATTACTGGTACATATAAGTAAGGATCTGGCTGTATACAACTAGTGTATAGACTTACAGTTCAATAAAAATTGATCCAAACGGTAATAGTCCACTTGCAATAATGAGAAATGACGGTTCCATAAACCATTTCTTTTCCGGTATTGCTTTAGGAACAGGATTCACTCGACATGGAAAATTCGCTAAACCAAATAAATTACGACCTAACACAGTACCGACTAAATTTAATGGAATGACTACGAATAAGATAATGGAAGTGATGGAGAGCATTGTGAAGAATGGGATAGACCGACTTGTACGGTAGTATATAGCAACAAGATCTACCAGAAAAGTGAAACAACACATTAGAAAAGGCAATAACGTAGCACCCATAAGGAATTGACGAATCCAGCGTTTGCCTGAGAGAAAATGAAAAGTTTGAATCCACAAGATAACTCAAGTGAACTAATTACTTCAAATTAGAAACAAAAATCTTGAATAACAACGCTGATAAGAAAGAAAACCATAACCACACAACATTTAAGGCAATAAAATAATTACTTTTACAAATTCCCTTAAATGTTTTAAAACCTATTGGAATTTTGAGCTTAAATAAGCGATAAAGCGTTGCACCACACACTCTGTAGCCCAGAAAAGATAGAAAAAAGTCACCAGAAGGAAAAACAATTAGAATAAGATAAACGTTTGAGATACGGATAACATCTCACCATAGTAAACAAAAATGTAATTATCTGAGAACAACCCATAAAAACAACAATAGGAATTGGTTTTCGAAAACTTTCTTCATTTCATTATTAATACAGATACTTTAAAGATTAATTAACCCTAAATAATGTAACTTAAATTGAAACCCCTAAGATTTTACATCATTTAGTTATTTCAGTACCTTACATAGGTGATAAGTCACTAACTGAGGAAGAATAATTAACTGGTAATTAATCTTTTTTGGCACCGAGATTCGACTAACATATTGTTCAATTTGAATATGGTTTTCAGTCCGAAAACACTAGAATGACGGAGCAATAGGCATACGTTTGATTCTAGTTTAGAATGTATATCAAATGAAGAGAGATAACAACATAATTTTCTGAGTATAAAAATCTCCGAATATCGCGATGAGGATCGTACTAGCCAATAAGTAAAAGTATAATTGCACGTAGTTTCACATTTCAGTTAGTTTGCGATAAAACAAGATGTTAACCATCACACCTACGGTACTGAGTTTACTGTGCAACTTAATAACTTCCAGTCACTTCATAAACATTTTCTAATAAAGAGCTTTAAGAGACAAAAACACATCTGCTGAGTGTTTTACAATACATCGGTTCCTGATACTACATTTTGAAACGGCAGGAAAATACATTGGATGGAAATAGATGAAAATTTCAAAACGAACAAAGTTATAGGTAATTTTATAATGAAAGTGTAGTGTATCGGCGAATAAATGAAAAACGGAAAGCTATAGAAGCTATTCTTCAATGAATCAAACATTTTTAAAGCAAATTTATTGATCATAGGACTTCTAGTTGGACGCTCGATTCAATTTGCTAGCCCCTTCTAATGACCCTAGATTAAATCTACAAGAGAAAAGGCGTGAAGAACAAAAAACACTTTACTCTAAGGTTAGTTAATATGCAGAAAAACGAGGGTATTTATAGTATTACAGAAGGCTTTAGGCTTCTAGTACAATACTAAATGTAGTAGCAGCGTAGGTAATTATCCAATCAGAAACGTGGCACAACACTCCTCACTTTCTACATGTTTTTGAGAAGCTTCTACTCGACGTTGATTTGAAAAAAATGTTTCGCAAAGTTTCCCGGACCTCCATGAGCTTTTACGAGAAATAATTTGGAACTCTTTAACAATTGATAGATGACTTATGACGTTTTGGCTTTGTTCGAATACTAAGCTTCGTTTGACCCACTAACTATTACCGAATCTTTTCAAAATCACAAATGTTTTACTGAGAATTTGAATGAAAAAGTTCCTACTTATACACATATTGGGATTTGTTACTTATAATGCATTGAGGACTTCTATTCATATTGCCACATGATTTTCAAGTTTAATAATAGTACAAAGAGCTTCATAATGTTGAGTTGCAGTTTCAAATGAAAGATTTGTTGCGTGGGCAAACAAGCGTTAACTAATACACTGACTGTTTACTTCGAATGTAACTACCGAGATCAAACCATTGACTTTAGCAGACCTATACGAAAAACATCTAACTGTATTCAAAATCATGTATGACCGTTACACAATTGAGAGCGAAAACATATTTGTGGCAAGATCTGATTTTTTTTTTCCAAAAACACAAGTATAATATTTTTAAATTGGGAAAGTTGATAAATGACTGGATTAGTTATGAGAGCTCGGTTTTACGCAGTCATAACTAAATATGGAACTACTAGAACATAGAAAAGCAAAGGGAATAGGGTTGGAAAAAACATATTTTTCTAAAACTTTGTTCAAGAGCTATGAAATGGATGGAAAGATTGATTTTAAACTACAGCTAATACTAAAAATGATAAATCCATCGGATTAATTTGTCTGCATGTACCAAGTGAAATATTCATTCAGACAATCCAAATTGAATGAATTCCCACTTCTGTAACCTCCTAATGTTTTTACAAGTTTACATGTACCAGCGGAACACATACCTAGGAAGAACAGAAAGGACAATTAGTGTTCACAATTTCTGACACCATCAACAAAGTGTAACTAGACGGAAAATGTTTGCGACTGCTGGAGAGGATGATGTTGGTTGTTTAAAATCCCTCAACAAAAACAGAAGAGGACTTCAAATATATTAGGCTTTGCTAAATCCTTCTAAATGAATCTTGTTGGTCACGTTTTTGTGAGTAATGAGGAATTTTCCTATGGCTTTATGTCATTTCTAATGTCCTATTTTATACTTCCGAGCCTTACTCAGCTGTTCATGATTTCTCATATATCACATATTCTACCACTTAAATCTACGATTACGAGGAAAAATCTAATTTTCATGCTCCAATTTGTCTCTATTTCTGTGATACGTTCATATATTTAAGATGCATATAAGTAAACATTTGAAATTTTTCAATCTTCAATAAAATATATTTGTAATATTTTAAAGAATGACAATTAGAATTCTCGACGTCTGGCGACTTAATGTAAGCCAGTTCTTCAGAGTAAATAAATAGATAATGCAATCAAATTAACACACCTTAAATAAAACAGGAAAAGGACGAAGTATTGAGTTCCACTGGAAATAGGCTTGATTATATCAATGTTATGTGGAATTTTTGGTTAAGGTGCTTCTGTATGAGACGTCATTCTGTGTATGATGGTGGTTATGAAAAATGTCTAATTTTTAATATGAAAGAATGCAGTTAGAATTTGAGTGTAAGTGGAGATTGGGTCGGGAATGAATAGAGTTAAATGTGGTTGTTTGGATAAACAATCCAAGTTGGATGAGTATTCAGGCCTTTCTTTCTATTGAGGGCAGAAGGATTTTGTATTGCATGAAACGTTTTGGCTACTTGTCTTTTTTATAGTTAGAAAAACATTTTCGAATTATTTTGATGTTTTTAATACCGATTTAGTGGTTACTGAAAATAACATGTACTGCTATTATCTGTTTAATTTGTAATATTTTTTTTATTCTGTTAAGTATCCTGGATTTATTTTTCATAAAAATGATCATCGGAAGAATCCAAATTACATAAGTCATACCAAACAAATACCGACACCATATTTAACTAACCTAGAGTCATTTCTTGATATGATTATGATAGTATAGTATTTTGTAAATTCGACGAATAGACTATCCACGGAGAATCGATTTTTATCCACTAATTTACTGTTGATGTACTATAATCCTAAACTAGATATAACTGAATCCGCCGATACTTCTAATTATGATAGTGATCCAGTTATCAAATAACGTTTTCCAGATGTAGAATCAAAATCAATAGCACTTGCACTCAGAACTTAACCCTACTGAAACCAAATACAGTCAGATATAAAACGTTTTAGGGTTATTCTTTTCAGTCAAGAAATTGCACAAAATGATTTAGTCCCTAATTTAATTTATCTGTAGACCACATACCACGCATTTTCATTTTTGCATGCGAAAGAGGCATTCCATTTTATATTGTGACTCATTAGCAAGATCATAATACTTGTACACGATTTATAATTAAATAAAAACAGACAGCCTAGTTTGGTCAAGTGGATGAATTACCTAGACAAAATGTGATACTCCGAAACTAGAAAGTAAATGTGCCATTGTCATTAAACGGTACAGAATTTAATACAACCAACACCATTTCCAACGTCCAAAACACAAGGAGATTAGGAAATTCAACATGTTCTTTGCCACATCTTATGAAATTAGTCCTCACATTCACACTCCAGATAACTGCAATATTTTTAATACTGAAACTCTATCGCGACTAAGGAAATTAGCTGGTGCTTAGAGATCGGGTAGTCGTATGTGCACGTTTGGACCAGAAATTTATCAGTCGGTCAGATAGTCAGAAAGTAGAGTCTAGAAAATGTGAATAGAAAAGGGTATTTGACCTACACTTACACACACATCTCAAACCAACCTGGGTTTTCGATTTTCCAGTTCACAAGCCCTGATTACGCGTCGGATGACTATTGAGACTAGTGTTTTAGATACTACTTTGCTCGAATTAATTCCTCTGTTGTTACCACATAGGAGTTTCCGTTCTTTTTTTAAACTGGGGAGATCGTCGAATGATACTAGTCAGGAGAAAATACGTTCAGATTTTGATATCTCATTTCACCTAATTGGTAAACTAATCCACCATTCTTACAGGACTCGGGATTCTGCTACTCTGACCTGCCTCAAATTAGTTATGACCTTTTCAACTTCGATAAAATTTGGGGAACTTGTCAGTCAGTCAGTCATAAGGTAGAACCAGCTACGTAAGTACATCAGTTCAAGTTGTCATACCCCAGTAGCACAGAGGTATGGAATTGTCTGGCCAAATCACAGAATAGTAGAGGTAGTAAGTATCAGTGGTAATGGGGGAGAATGGGCATCGAAGATACTATTCGAAAAAATATATAATTTAGTGAAGCAAAATCAAAAAAGGTTACGGTGAATTTAGGGGGAGATATAGAACGAATGCACTGCGCCACTTCAAACGATTTTGAGCCGTGTCTTCCAAAGTCTTTAACCATTGGTTACGATAATCACGCGGACCCTAACCAGGTTATCTATACTTTTTAACATGGGTCAGTCCAATTGTCTGTGACTTCATGGTCCAATGCTATGTTTTGGTTAGGCTGCCACTAAATTTCTTCCGGTCTACTCCTACACTAGAAAACATCGCCCGTTGAAGTAAGCAGAGAATAAGCATACGTAACACGCGTCCCAACCACCTCAATTGATGAATACTTACTACCTCATCAATCGGTCTGTTATTACTACATAGTACTATATCCCTTACACAGGTATTACTCATTTTGTGCTGCATGTACTGGTGTTGTCAATGTAATTTGTAAATTTTTCAGCTGCAGATGTTTTTTCATGTAACATTTATTATTCAGGGCGCTGTGTTGTAGATAAGTGAGATTGATTTTGTTTGTGGTTGATCTGAGTGGAACATAACCGACAAGTTTACGACTGTTAGGTATAGAATAAAGTATATATGATGTCTCCATTCAGTTAGTATTCATTTATTTTCTTATTCACTCACACTTCATCTTTTGTGATTATTTACATATGTTGGTGTTGTTGGTGAGTGTTCACTTATGATCATCGTGGAAAATTTGTTTTCTCTAAAAATTATCTGAATCTGTGGTTATTAAAGATGCTTAATCTGGCTTACGTATAAAGTGATATATATTTATATATATGCCAATCCGTTTTTCTATATGTTTACTTTCTAATATAACCAGCTGTGCATGAAAACTTAAACAATTATCTCTTTCTTTTCAAGGTTCAGTTGGATACATTGCTGCTTATAGATTCGTTCGTAAAATATACTCGGTTGTCAAGGTGGATTAAAATGCCTAATCATGTCCAGATATTGTTCCTCTTTGTTTTTGTATGAAATTCTTAAGCTGTGATTATTTTCAACGTTTTTTCCTCTTCCTCACCTTCTGTACTTTGTGTATGTTTTTTCCACTATTCTGTGTGACTTCGATTTTGGTGTAAGTTGTTTGGGGATTTTCATCTATGGTCAGTATTTTATTTCTTAAATTAGCGTTGCTCATATAAGCACACGTCAATACTTCATTTGTGTTTGAGGAATTCAGTTTTTATTCTTACATTACCATTAATTATAATTACGTTTCGTTATAGTTTCTGATTTTTTTTCTCTTCACTCATAGTTTTCACTGTTTCTAGGTTGCTTCCTGTCAAATGTAGCGAACTGTACTTTGTTACCCATTGTGAACAGTGACATGATATAAAGAGTAATTTGTATCCATCCTTTTATTGTCACATAGTATGTTTATCTTGATAAATAGCTTCACATGTGAGTGATATTCTAAAATGATTAGAAGTAGTCGAATTGATGTGCTGACTAAGAATTCTCCAAATAGCCCAATCTATTACAAGTTAAGATAGATCAGCACAATTGAACGTGATATATTTGGAATTGGTAATAAGCCCGGAGTCAAGTACAAAGAAGTCATCAGTTAGTACAAATACCACGTGTTCTTGAACGATAGTGTCTTGCTTAACCGTGCCATTCATGTCTCTGAATGAGGATAGCTGCATCTCAAAGATGTCTGCATTGTTGCTTAGGGTGGTCAAAAGACTAGTTTGTTAGCGTCTTCATCAAACGGAACTACATCATCTGGTAGGAGTTCTATCCCTGAAAAGCCAGACGATGGAAGTGTTATTTTCAAAGGCATGTCTATGACAAAATGGGTAAATCGGGCAACCCTGACGAACACCACTTGCAGTAACCGATTCCGACGAAAGTTCTCCACAAACTCCAACTCAATCAATACTGTTCGAGTAGGGCTTCTAAAGGGTTAGTGTACTTTCTTGGTACGACTTTTATTGAGAGAGACTGCCACAAGACCTCACGATCAACGGGGTCGAACGTCGACTCAAGGTCAAAGGACACGCCTGTAGTCGGACATCGGGATGATATGTCTGTGTTCCACGACCAGACGGGCTTTGAGGTTTTAGTCTATACATCCAGGTCTGAAACCACCCATGTTTTCTCAGATTTGCTCTTCATGAGCTCTGGTTAGACATCGAAGTACTATTGGGGCTTATGTTTCAGACTCAATACTAGTCAAACTAATTCCTCTGTGATTGTCACAAGAGGTATCTGAATTCAGCTACTGCGGTCGAAATTACTTGTAAATGTCCACCTTAACTCCAAAATACTGTATAGTCGTCAGGTTCTAACGTGATTTGTGTATTCCGTATATCTCAGATGTTAATATTTGTGGGAGTCAGTGTGTTTAGAAAGTATGATCTAAATAAATGGTTTTTGATAAGGGATTTCAGTGAGGTGCAGATATTTCAATTAAGACTAACCAAGAATTTGGAGGCTCAATAGTTCACGATTTCGTTCAGAACCTTAGATGTTATTTGACCACCATAGTTTACGGCGTTTAACACATATTGAAACATCCAGACTAAAACAATAATAACACCCTCATATTACCAGCCAGGATGTATGGACTATTAATGACTTACAATTTTAATGGAATATGATTCTGTCTGAATTTATTGATTTTGCACAAGAATAAATTTCCCGCGACTTGGTACACATGCTTGTCAGGTATGAGATCATAAGTAAGAACTAATCACTCATCGGTTTGTCATTTTCTTGACGGCTGTGACTATTAAGTGAGTGGCTCCTTCCGTCTATCAATCAAGGGACGAGTATACTGCGCGGCAGTTCGTTCTGTTTTACTTTACGGCTGCGAAAGGTGGCCTTTAATGGTAGAAGATATTCGTAAGCTACTAGTATTTGATCACAGCGACGATAATTCAATTGGTGTCACTATCTTGAAACACCGACCTCGGTGGCATGGACATGTTCTACGAATGTCGTCCCAGAGAATCCCAGGTCGTGCATTACTTGCCGACGCTGGGACTGGTTGTAAAAGCGGAGAGGTGGCCAGTGTATGACATGGTGTCGTGGTATGGAACAAAGCTGTACAGGACTGGCTTCAGTCGGTCCTTCACAACTCCGTTGTTGGGGTCCTAGAGATGGTGTAACACAGTGGCTAGAGAAGTTATCAGATATGGCTAAGAATAGAAGCCAGTGGCGGTAATGTTGTAACATTATTTTACTTTCTTCATAAAATAGGACGTAACTTCTGTTGCTGGAGGAATTCTTTCTGGCTGTACCTTTGCTAACTGAACTGCTTCTTCCATCATTATTATTTCACTATCATACACTAATTTCTGTTCTTTGATGTTCCCTTTTTTCTTATACGCACCTTACATTCTTTATCTCTCCATATTCTCATTATTTTTGTGTGGCTCACACGTATCTGGTGCCCCTTTGTACCAATATTTATGCGTTCAAATAAATAAAATAAATAACGCCTTCCTTCCGTTGTTAGGCTGCAGAAACACTGTAGATGCCGGTCGTTTCAGGGGAACACTTATACCGTACATAGTTGGCAGTAAGACTTTGCTCACGAACCACGAGATTGCTGCTCTTAATCTTTCCGTTCTCCAAACGACCTGCCTGGCATAGTAGAGCTAAAAAGAAAATGTGTTCCGGCCAATATATCTCGAAAGGGTTATCATGGTATCCAAGCCCAATCACGAAATCAAGGTAGCAGCTAGAAGCGAGGACAATAAACTTTTCAGATGTATCAAGGAAACGGGCATTAAATTTTATAGAGACTACCAGCTGCAGTTACAATATTACATAAAACTTTTCTAGTCACCAGTTACGTTAAATCCCGTATTCTTTCTCTGTTTGTTATATTCATAGGATATAAAACATTTAAAAGGTTGATCACATTGTGGGTTCTTTATACAAAGTCAGTCTTGAGTGTTCAGTCATTATAGCATTCCACCCAATTGACTTAAAGCTAGTGAAAAAGAAACACTAAAAACCATCTAATCGAAGTTTCACTAAATCACTTAGGATTTACGATACTACCACTAGAGAACGAAAACGATTGGCGATGATAACATACAAAGATAATACAAACAAGTGACTTACCAGACATGCGTGCATATAGACTGCCACCAACCAATCCATTTACCGGTGAAGTAGAAGCGAAAACAAATATGGCAGTAGAAATGAAACTTCCACGTTCGGTGTATAATTTATTAGTTAGTGCCAAAAATAATACTATGGATGAGACAACGGCAATATGAATCCCTGTTCCAACTAAACTAGCTAATAAAGATGAATGAGGCGGTGAGCGGAAAACATCTCCATGCACCTGTTTCCAACCGTATTCATCGCCTAATTCACGATCCTGAAAAAAATAGCAAGAAATTCGGCTACTTATTTTTAACCGTCTTTATAAATATATGTATCTTATGAAAAATAAAAGTCATCATTGAATTTCCCTACATTTTTCTCCTCCATAATGTGAAAAAAGAGACGCTTACGTCCTGAAAACGGATATTCATGAGTATTTTAATGTTGAGTGCTGTGACCGTTGGTGTATGAAGTCTGACGCCAATACACGACATGATACGCGCTAACCCCCCAAATAATTACTTGGGCGAGAAAGTATATTGCGGTACCGAATAAAAGGTATATATATATATATATATATATATATATATATATATATATATATATATATATATCCCTTAGGAAGTCAGTCCGTCTCTCAGCTGATGATATGCACTTATCCTTTAGGTCACTGATTGCCATTGACTGGCCTCATTTGGTTACTTCATTTTGGCTCACTATATCAGAAGTCTTCATACTTATTAGAAATAACTTGGTAACGGATATTCAATCATCGAGAAAACACAAAAAAGTTAAACTAGTTAAATAGTATTGGTTCGCTGAAAGACTATTGATAATACATAACGTCATATTCATAAAGTTATGTATTAATAGATAAAGATAACTGAATCGAGTATTAGCATTAATCAAACATCCCTTAGTGGTGAATGAAACGCAATCACTATGACTTCCCAATCTAGAACTATGCTCACATAGACTTGAGAAAGTCCATATTCGGAGATAATCAAATGGTTAATTAAAAACCAAGAACTGAACAAACTGATAAAATAATTAAACGAACGATCAAATGACAGATCACCATGACTCTGTGTACATGTTTAAGTTATCAGTATTACTCTCTGAATGTTGGTAAAATATAACTATAGAACCATTAATGGACCTACACATTCAACTCACTTCTATTTATCATTAAACGTTTTCTCTAACCTTACTAATTTTTTCATTCATACGAATGCCCTGGTACGGCCGAGGGTGGGGAGAGTCCACTCTCCCTCTCGAAATGCTCTCACATGGCCACGCGTATATATTCTCTACCACGGAGGTCCTACTCACTGTCTTCTCGTGACGGGGGTGTTGTTTACGAAATCCAGAGGACGAAAAGCGAATATCGGGCGCTTTAACCGGATTCCAAACCAATGGTACACATGGGCTCCAGTATCCTGAGAGAACAAATGGCGTATGAACCAATTGTTGGTCACCGGCTACCATGGGAATGCATCTCCTTACGATGCTCCACTGCCTTGTGGATCAGACCTTCAGGTCAAAGGCTCGGGTGTGGCCTCCTAAGAAAACCACCTGCTTCGGTTTGGGCACCCGGGCAGTATCACAGCCCTCACACATATCGAATGAGATTTGTGTGGCCCATATGTATTTGGTGCCTCCTTGTACCAATATCTATGTTTTAAAATAAATAAAATATAAATAAATGTCCGATCTAACTGGATTCAGATCCCGGGCCACTGAAATACTATTTTTTGTTCAAGACTCAAGTTCATGTAGCAAGATACCAAGCAAACTGAATGATCGAACTATTCGGATACTGTGAAAAGAGAATCTAACTTCCTATGTTATTGGTGAATCTGCAGGACGACTGTCAAATCTTAATGGAAACTGGATTCTCGGTTTAGTCGTTTAATTAGTCGAATGTAAGTACTTATGAGGAATATCAAACTGCCATCGACTTTCAATTAGTAAGATACAAATATGAACCCAACAGAAGATAACGAAGTCTCAAAATACACATATAGTTGTCAGAAAAATGGATGAAACTGTACTTGACACTAATCGATATATATTGAAGAAAATTCAGATACGGATTAAAAAACTGACAGTTCTTTAACCCTGACTATCCGTAGCAAATCTTCGAATGAACTAATACTCTTAATGTAAGGTCCCAGATACACATAAAACTACACAAACGAACGTGTAAGTACGAGAAGCAAAATGAACCCCTTATTTGGAAAAGTCAGAAACCAAAAAAAACTTACAACAAGACCTGTGAGCTCTGTGTAATGTAAAATTGAGAGAATAAACAACAGTATTTCAATTGTTTTGTTACAATTACATTAAGCATAAAAGTACTGGGAGACTTACCAAATCGCTTAGACCATCTTCTTTATTATATCTTGCATAATCACGCCGTAATGTTCGCATTAAAATCATGCAGACCAATGCGACAAGGAACAATACCATCATAAATGAATTAAAAATTGAAAACCAATGAATCTATGACAAGAACACGAACAAAGAACAACAAAAATATCGATCAAAGCAGTAAACTTTTGGAAGTGAATAATCTAGAATTTACACGAGATAATGAATCGGTTTGGATAATTAAGAAAAAGTAATCGCCAATAAAAATGTAATTACTAATTGTGTCTATCTAACAGATAATGTGAACTTACGAATCAGCCTTCTAATTTATGAGGTATACTAACGATGAAACGAACTCCTTGTGATATTAAAAAGGTAAAATATTACGTTGAATAAATGCTTAGAACTCTTCGCCTGACCCTAGCACTATACATAAAATGAGTGCTTGGAATATCTCTATGGGAAAATATTACTTCCATTAAGACGAACAACATACAGACGTATATCGAAAAAAAGTTTAGACTCCCTCGTTCCACTTTCGAAAATGTTGGCATACATACAAACCTGAGACGACAATAAGATGCCATCACAACTCCGGAAACCGAAATTATTTAACTTGTTCGTTTGCTGTACTGATTAGAAGAGACGCATAAATATTTATATTTGGCTCGTTAACGTGCTCGATTGAGACACCGCTTATATGTCATTCGGGATTGAGATTTCGGACAAGAAAAATACGACCTTTACAACTTAAATAAAATTTAGGAAACTTGTGTGAATTTCCCATTCACATTGCTTGGAAACACTGGGTATTTGGAGGGTTATCTATTTGAGGGTATAAATATTGGCACAAATGGATATCAAAATAAATATGCACCACACAAATAAATGGATGAAGTTATGAAGAGATATGAAAAGGGTGAATATACTTAAAAAATAATTAAATGAAAAAAATAAGTGCATGAGCTTAATATACAGTGGGAGAAATAGTTCGGTTGAAAAAGTACAACAATTCTTTTAAGCAAATAAATTTCATTCATGAAGTAAAGTGAAATAAAGTTACAGCGCGGTCACCATTGGTTTTTATTCCAGAAGTTACCAGATGCAGATGTTTCGAAGTCGACAGCAGTTTCCAACTACCAAGATTTCGATCATTGAGCTAATTGAATATAATTTATATATGTAGAAATTTACGTTTGTTACGTGGATACAGGCTATATTGGCTAGAATGTTTGTTCCTTGATGCTAAACCATACCAGGAAAGTCATTTTGAGGGTGGTATTATCAGAAGCAGAAAACATAAAGTTCATGAACTAAGCTTTATCGCCTATTGTACTAGGCTGTAGTGTAGTAAAGCGTTTCATTCAGTCAACCAGCTTTTGTAGTAATGCTGCCTTTCCACTACCGAATAAGTGTTACAAAAGGTGGTTGTATATCCTCGTTCTACCTGATGTATTTGTCCATAGAACCTTCAAAATGCTGACAAATTTCTTATCAGCTCTGGTAGGGTGGTATCTGATGAAATCTCAGTACAAATAGAGAAGGCCAGTTTGGATTTTTCCAACTTGCGTCACTTATGGTGTAGGTGAGATATTCATCTACCAACCAGATAACGAGTTAACAGGGTAGCAGTTCGCTTTGTTCGAATTCGTGGCTGTGAAATGTGATATTTATAGGTTACTAGTACTCGACAATAGGTGTCTTTGAACAACTGTTCATGTATTTTGGGACCATCGAGTTAGCAGTTCTGAAGTTTGACACAGTATTAGGTAAGGATGGCGAACCCGTTGATGAGGTAGTGGATCTTTGTCGACTGGGATGGGTAGGATACAAAATATTTACAACCATTCACCGACTACCTTGACGCAAGATGATGATTGGTATAGAAGTAGGCTAGAAAAAGCTAAGGGTGACTAAGCCAAGAAATAGGATCAGACCATGACAACCGCGACTTAAGGAATGAGCTGTGTAGTTAGGTGCATACTAACTGGTTAAAGTCTGCGTGATTATGGTGGTCTATTGCAATGACTCATTTGAACCATATTAGCTCGAATACTTTTTCTTCGATGCCCTTTTATGATGGGGAGGTCTAATAAAGAACGGTAAAATCAAAGGTAATATATCTAAGGTCATATTTCAAATCTATTGCGATGTGATAGCAACGAGCTGTCCCCAGCACTCGACCAATATTTTCCAAAATAAACGAGTCAAAGTAAGTCGACCGTCAAAATCAATTATTATTTTTTGAGAATATGACTAGTAGGTTGCTTCTTGGTGAATATGGTCTATTGTCTAGGTATATGACTTCGGCTCCACAGAGCGATGGTTTAAGTGCGAGCGACGGAAGTTCTTTTGTACACGGAGCTCTCATTCGTGTTTGTTGTTCTCTGGTTCCATGTAACTTAAGCATGATAGAAATACATATATACATACGTTTGTTCAGAGCAAGTAATGGATGCCTAAGTAGCTGCTGTAACCTGTATACGCCACTGGCAATGCTTGTTCTTGACAGATTATCAGCGGTAATACAGTCGCAAAGGTTGTTTTTGGATATTGTAAATTCAAAGTGAAAACTAATTGTTGATACAATTTATTGGCTTCTTCGTGGGATATCCTCCAGTTTTTCGTGTCCGTGTACTTTTTATCATTATGATTTTAGTAACGTTTCGAACATTTATGTAAACTTCAAAAACTAAAGTCTGTTTAACATTTGTTAATAATGTAGGTAATTATAATTCTAGGTTGTACGCAGTTGATGAGAAACCGTGAAATAGAAAGAATTATTTTCGTTTTTGTTGTTTTTTCTCTGTTTAGATTTACCTAGGTATCTGTATGTATAAGGTTCTCTATATGTTTAGAATTTAATTTTTAGAGCTATATTGAAGTCGCTGAGTTTGTCAACATTTCAAATGAAGGTTGCGTCGAAATTTTGTAGTTCTGTTCGTCTACTTTTCCGGTTCTTCTCTAGCCTTAGTTTTTGTATTGTCACGATCAGGTGGTGGTCTGCAGTTGTGTTAGTTCCTCTCTTTGTCCTCATGTTTCACACAGGTTTTCTGAATTGCCTGCTGATGCAGATGCGATCGATCTGGTTTTCTATAACGTAATCGGTGGGAACCCATATAACTTTTGTGAGCAAAAATGCTACCAAATATAGCCAATTTGTTTAAAACATGTAGATTTATCATTCTTGCACCGTTCCCGTCTTTTCTCCCAGTCCATGTCATCCCATGATATTTTTATACCCGGTATTGTACATACCAACCTCGAAGTTTAAGTTCCCCATCAGGATGGTCAGGTATTATCCTGAACATTTGTTTACTATGGATTGAAACCTCCTTATCAAATTAACTTTAATCTTCTCCACTGCTATCGTTGGTAGGTGGGTTACATCGGACGATATCCATTGTAATCTCTTCCTTTGTTTTGAGGACTCTGCATTTTGTCAGCGTCTTCACTAAATAGAACTATGTCATGTATGAGCAATCCCATAAACTTAAAGAAGCTGTCCAATCATATGAAATAGTAAGTACTTGTTGAAAGGGTAGAAAGACGCTCAAAAGATCATGGAAGCAACAAGCAAATACGAATAATCCTTCTTTACAGATTATTCACACTGCTACCTATTAGACAAAATTAATGGATAAAAAATGAATCAAGTTAAGTGATAGTCGGTTTTATACTCATTATTTCTTCGAATAAACATACGAAACAGACTAACAGTGAGCATAAACTCTGCTATAAATAAACTGTGTCAACTAAATCAGTCAGTGAGTAACAACGTAGAACTTCGTACGTACGTACATCAGTTCGAGTTGCTACACCACATTAGCACAGAGATGCAGTTGTCGATTCAAATCCCGTAGTGGTAGAGGTAATAAGAGTATAAGCAGTAATCGGGAAGATTAGGGTTTGGGGATGTTATTTAAAGAGTATAATCCAGTGGAATAAATTTGGAAAGAGGAGAAAAGGGACATGAAGAATTCAGAAGATTAGAATTTGGGAGAACACAGAGTGTGGGTGCACCTGCGCCATTGCAAACGATTTTGAGCCATGTCATTCAGGGTCTCTTACCATCGGTTGCTATCATCTCGCCGTCCCCAACCAGGTAGTCTACACCTACCAACATGACTCAGTTCACTTGTCAGTGACTTCATGGATTTGTGCCATGTTTTGGTTTGGCCGCCCCTAGCTTTCTTCTAACCTACTCCTATACCACTGAACATAGCACGTCGAGGCAGTCGGTCGTTGGGCATACGTAACACGTGTCCCAACCATCTCAACTGATGAAGTTTCACTACTTTATCAATTGATTTGCCATTCTTATCTAGTACCCGTTTCCTAACAACTGTGTTACTTACTCGATGGTCCCATGACATACGAGCAATGTTTCGAAGACACCTATGATCAAATACTAGTAACCTACGGATATCCTCTACACTAACCGGCCATGTTTCACTGCCATAAAGTAGGACGGAACGAACTGCTGCGCAGTAAACACGTCCTTTGGTTGATAGACGGATATCTCGCCTACGCCATAAATGATGCAAGTTGGCAAAACCTAGTCGAGCCTTCTGTGTCCGTGCTGAGATTTCGTCACACACCAGACCACAATGGCTGATGAGACTCCCAAGATAAGTGAAGCGGTCGACACACTCAACTACTTCACTCCCTATCACTAGTTCGGGTGTCGATGTAACCCAATACTGAAGCAACACTTTGCATTTCGAGGGAGATAATCGCGTCCCAACCATGCATGCATTGTTGCTTAGAGTGGTCAGAAGACTCTGCATTTTGTCAGCGTCTTCACTAAATAGAACTATGTCATCGGCATATTCTAAGTCAACAAGTGAATCTCCCGGTAAAAGTTCAACCTCTGGAAATTTAAATGAGGAAAGTGTTATCTCTAAAAGCACGTCAACGATAAAGTTAAACAAGAATGGAGAGAGTAGACAACCCTGACAAACATCATTTGAGGTAATCAATTATGATGACAGTTCGCCATAAGCTCTCACTCGACCAGTTGTGTTCAAGTAGAGAGCCTTTATAAGGTTAATGTACTTCTTTGGTACTCCTTTCAGTGAAAAACACTGATATAGAACCTCACGATCAACAGAGTCAAATGCCACCTTAAG